CTGGAATTTATGCTAATGAAGTTTGAGTTTCTGTTGGTGATGTCTTGTCTTTGTTTAGCTAGTTTTTACTGACCTCACAAACTACCCATTTCTCTTTATATACATCCAAACTAAACACTGTTGGTACTGAAAACATTCTTCAGGAAAGACCTACCAGACGAGTACATAGAAGAGAAAATGTAAAACCTATAGGTTGAAGCAGCGAAAATTATTGACATCCACGAACTGATAGTTGAAACTATTTCTTAAAATCAAATTTAACATAAGCAGTGAGGCCCATGTGAGCAGACCACAAAAGAAAAACTAAAAATTACCCAACGAAGCAAAAAGTACAATCCCTAATTTAGAGATTGATTAATAACATAATAAAGGAAATTAATAATAAATCAAATGAAATATCGGCAGTATATTACAGAACAACCAGAGAGGTTAGGACTCTAGGCGGTATCACGATGACAATGTATGACATGTATGACAATGAGCACCATGGAAAAATTGATGGAATACTGAATTTATTTCCTCTCTCTTGTTAAGGTTTCTATTCAGTGAGCGGCAGCTCTCTGTCAGACTCTTGCTACTCTGTGTCCAGTGATGCTGCTCAGGGAGGACCAGCGCCACCAGCCAGACCTCAGAAGCTGTGGGAGCAGGTTACTCTGTCTACTGACAACACTGACACCCTGTGGTCAGAAGGGCGATTGCAGCAGCAGCAGCAGCAGCAGCAGCAGCAGCACCAGCACCACCACCACCACCACCACCACCACCAGCAGCAGCACCAACACCACCAGCAGGACCAGCCTGTACTGCAGAATAGCCAGGATGATGCTGAACCAACAGAAGGGACCCCAGTTTCAGGTGAGCTGGTGCAGATGACGGAGTCATGTCTTATGAATCCTTCCAAGTAAATACAAATTTACAGTAGACGGCTGAAGCTAGTTCAGAAAGGGCAACTGAAGACAGTTCAAAGCAAATTTCGGGTGTAAACATCAGTGGAAGTGTTATGTCTGGGAAGAGTTGGATATGTAAATATTTAGGGAATGATAATCTAAAATAAAAAAAAATGTTACGTCTAAAATTCCTCTCTCGTCTCTTACAGTACCAAGTGACATTGAAGGAGCTGGTCTGAACTTTCTGTCTGACCTCTGCTCAGGACTCGGTGACTCCCTGATTGTTTCCCTCCTCCCACTTTTTGACCCAACCTCCTCTTCTTCAACCTCTTCCCTCCATCCGAAACCCCAGCTGGACTCTCGCTACTGTACTGACCTGGTGTCCCGTCGGACCAAAGAGGTTTACCCCTACCCCAGCCCGCTTCATGCCGTTGCCCTCCAGAGCCCCCTCTTCACCTCCCAGAACCAGGAGCAATCAGCATCTCAGAGTCCTGAAGAACCACAACATGATGAACAACTAGAGTCCAACACTGACCCAGCTCTGCCTCTCCAGCCTCAGCAGCCCCCCACCCTGGCCTCCTTCACCCAGCTAGAGCAGTACATCTCTCGCCTGGCTCATCAGTACCACAGTCGGGTAACCTCTTCCACCTCTGATCTCACTTCAGGTGTCACCCCTGGTACAGTTGTGCACAGAGGCCTTTGCACCCCTGGCAAAACTCATGGTTCCACCCAGTCTCTTTCTGCCTTTGAGAGCCGCAGTACACCCTCCACTATGCCAGGGGGCAGCATCACTCCCTGTAAGTCACTACTGGGAAATTCAGCCAGAGTCAGCCTCAGCACTACTGGGAAAAAGGCCACTAGGAACTCAATCAACCTGGGTAACCTTCCTTCAGCAACTGGAGAGGACTTGAACATAAATCTGCATCTCAACCTTAACTTGAACCTGGCCCCAGGTTTAAATTCTAGCCGGGGACTCATGGACAATCCCAAAAATGGCAGTTGTGGAGCTTTGAGGAGTGACTTCACTACAGCTCCTACTGCCTCTGCTTCATCACTCTCCTCCGCTACACCCACCCCAGCACTTAGAGCTCGCCCTCGCATTTCAACTTGTCCGACCAGCCTGAGCCACCGCAGTTCCCTGGAAGTCACTTCGGCGTCTGGACCAAGCACTGGTTTTGGGTCATCAGCTTTCTGTCGCTCATTAGACTGGAGCAGTGGTGCTCCACCTGAGGCTGGACCATCAGTGTTTGGTACAAATGCTGGATCAGCTCCTGGGTCTCAGCGTAGCAGCCTGATCCAAGAGTCCAGTTCCAGTCCCAAGTTAAGCGAAGACTCCCCCATGGTGGGAGAGATATCCCGCCTCTCTGGCTTGTCCAGGGCTGTTGTGGTCGGACTGATGGAACAAGGTGTGGAACTGGATATTGACTGCTTCCAAACAGATTCTGCAGGTGAGGTGAGGGGTCACAGTAAAACTCACCTGACTGCCCAAACAGATCAGTCACATGACTATACTAGACTAACCGACCTGAATCCCCAGAGACCAATACAGCTCTCCCTCAGTGTCACCCATTCTCCTCAGTCTCAGTCAAGTCTCACCCCTCCTCTCTCACACTCTAGCAGCCCCATACACCCTTACCAGTCCGTCCATATTCCCTCTCCCCACTACTCTTCCCACTGCCACTACCAGCAAATCCCTTCCCCATCCGACCTTCCCTCTTCCACGGCCTCTTCCCCTGCCTCCCGCCCCACTCCCAGGGGTCGCTCCCCGCCACGGCCTCTCCAGCCATCCCCACTGGGTGCCACCCCTCTCTCAGTTTTCCGTCGGGATACACCCTTCCAGTGCTCCCTGCCCCGCACCAATACTAGGACCTCTCCTTTAGAGCATGGCGGAATCCAACCAAGAGGAGGATCACTTCGACAGAGTGGGGGAGGAAGTGGAGGTAGTGGCGGGTGGAAGAGGGCAGAGGGGGAAGGGCTTTACAAAGGAAAGCATACCTCCCACAAGTTAATCAGGGCAGCCACAGTAAGCAGCTATGCCAAGAAAGAGGACTACAGCTCTGTTTGGGGTGAGGAGGAGCAAAAGGAGCGAACAGCGGCTCAGACACCAAGAAAGACCTCCAACAAACTCTGGAGGGGCTTTGAGGGACGCCTCTGGGGCAAAGAGTCAGAAAGTGAAAGGGAGGAGATGGACAGAGCTGAGTATGGCTACGGATGGAGGAGGAACAGTGTTGGAAGCTGGAGGAGGGAGCACCGCAGAGTGAAGGCTTCATCCAACAGTAATGACAAGAGGCCAAAAGTAGATAACTCCCCCATCTTCTCGAAGAAGAGGGGGAAAGAAGATGGGGAGAGACGCAGCTCCAGCCTCAGGCTTTCCAGAAGGGCTTTGTTCAGGAGCGAGTCCCAGGGTTTGCTGGTGCCTCGTAACCACAGCGAGGGGCCCACAAAGCGGGCACACTGGGTCTCCTCATTAGACGTAGGGCAAGGAGGCATGGGCATCAGCAAAGACGAAGGGGTCAGACTGCTGAGAGCAAAGGAGGAGGACAAACGCCTGTCCTCCACTGCCAGCCTCTTTAACCTTTCTCGCTCTCAGAGCCTGGAGGGCAGCTGCCACTCCCTTTCCCCTCTCTCCTCTCCCTCTTTTTCTCCATCCCCTCCTCCAAGGATGCCTCTCCAGCGCTCTCGATCACTGAGGGACTTGGGGAGGAGAGTGTTTGGCTCCATGAGGTCTCTGAGTCTCAAACGGAAGCCATCCAAGAAGTGACATTTGTACAATAAATGATCATCACGGTAGATGATTCTTCCATGTGTTACATTCAAAACACCAGTGATGGTTGGTATTATATTTCATGTGAAAAGAAGTGCCATTGTTTTTTAATTTTTAAACTTCAAAGATTTGTGATTGATTAGACAGATACACATGCTATAATACTGGCCATAAGTTATATGCCAGTCCTTTCATCCACCACCAACATGATGGAAGTTCCTCTCAGGCACATTAGTCTGTAAAACCTGCTATTAATTTTGTTCTTGGCTCACGACATTCATTCCAGTGACGTTTTTGTAAATTTTTATTGACATAGCCACTTTTTATAGCCTTCCAAAAAAACTACAAAATGTCTGACAAATTTCTCCAAACAGGTTCTACAGCCTAAACAGAGTGCTTTGTAGCCAAATGATTACACTGTATCTCCCAAAGTCTTTCCTCACTAACAATGTGTTATTGTAAATTGTACAAGCAAAAGCGCTGCTGGGTGCAGCATGGCCTACAGAGAAAGGTCAGTGAAGAAAACACAGGTGATGTGGGGTGTTGAATTCCTTTTAGGTGCTGCAAAGAACTACACACCTTTTTAAAAACTCTTATTCTGGGTTCCTTTTGTGGCTTAAAAGTAGCCCAATTTAAAAAATATTCAATATGAACTCACAATATTGGCTATAACCAGCTTCATTACATATTGGTTAAATCCCCCTTTACCATGAGTATGAATGTGTATGTGTACACTCCCCCTCTGCATGCTGCTCTGTGACTTGTTCAGTGATTATAGCTATTGTGAGAATGTGATATTCCTCTTTGTTTATGGGCAATATTGCCTCTGAAGTACAATCATATTGGCCAGACAATGACCAAAACCAAGCAAATACTCTTTAACTTGATATTGTGCTCAGGATTTTCAAATAAATATTGAATGATTAAAATATTGATGAGTTATTTGAGACAAAATGTGGCTTCTCATGGCTTACGATTAATAAAAGAAGCTGATAACTAAGACTTGTACTGTGCCTGAAATATCTGCATTATATAATGTTTGTCAAAAAGACATCTGAGCTTGGACATTATTTATAAAAAATACTTTACTTGAAAACTCACAAAATCAACATTCACAGCACTGACCAGACAACTGCAATCATGGAGGCGTTTTCAGAACTTAGTAGTAGTGCATGAAGAGTCACATTTTTGTTCAATATCCAAACCCTTGCTCTTTTGAGATAAAAAAAAAAACAGCTCTGTTTCCATGTTGCTAGGAAACTAATGTTCCGGTCCTCATCTTTCTATTTTCAGCAGCGGCATCTTAACTTTCATATTGACTACATTCCAGTATTCTGTATACTGTACAATCCTTACTCCCCTAAACTCACCTCATAAGCGTCTAGAGGAGAAACAGTAAAATTAGTGATTCAGGATGTGTGATCATTCTTCAGTTGCTCTGTGATCAGTTGAACGCAGTCTCTCTCAGGTTGAGGCTTTACTTGGTGGAGTGAATGTGCAGGCTAGACTCCCTCACCAGCTCTGTTGGTTTGGTCAATCCCCTCTCTGGAGCTGCTCTTCGGGCCGGAGGAAAACATGCCTCGATACATGGCCTTCTCTTTTTGTAACTCACGATTCAGTTTCTCCTCAGCTCTCTGTAGGTGCTTCCTCACGTTAGCATCTGCAACAGAAAAATCAAGACTTATTTTGGAGAGGCCTTCTTCAAATATGTTGGAGAAGGCTTGGACAGAATCTGCAGAATTGTGATAGAGGCGTTACATATACGGATTTGATTTATACAGCAATTATTTGACGGAGCCAAAGTCCAAAAAAACCTCTTTACATGTCCCATACTTGGCAAAAATTAACAGAAAATGAATGAACTGGCTGTGATAAATTGGTCCATGAAATAAAAATACAGAGCACAATTTGGTCTTCGTCAGGTCTGAATTTGCAGTGTCAAATATTTTATTTTAAGTTGTATCTCATTTGATTAATTGGGGACAGCTGATAACTTGTTAATTAATAAGCTTTAGAGGTGCTGATGGGCAGATTTTGTTACTTTGGAGAGAGCCAGGCTAGCCGTTTCCCCCTGTCTCCAGTGTTAATGCTAGGCTAACTGGCAGTTGCTTCATATTTAACAGACATTTAGGATGGTGGTATTGATCTTTTAATCTAAATCTTATTAATAAAGCAAATAAGCTCATTTCCCAAAATGTCAAACTATTTCTCTAAGGTAAAAAGTACATCATGCTCCGTTGTAAGTGGATCACATTTTGGTATAAAACCATCTTGACAATTTTTTTTTCTTTTTCTGCTGTTGATGATACTGATGTGCTTGGTTTTTTACCATTAGGCTGCTCTCTGCTGGCCTGGATGAGGTACTGTTTGGCAGTCTGTGCATCTCCCATCTCCAGAGTGGCTACTCCAGCCCTGTACAGTGCCTTGACATCACCTGGTCGCCACTTCAGCACCCGCAGGCTGTACTCCTGCACACGGGCGTAGTCAACACTTTGTCTCTGCAGCAAACAGGCTGAAAGAGATAAATATGTACATATATATTATATAAAAACATACACAGTGATACTCAGAATAGTTGTGCTACCACTGGAATACTTTTTAACAGAACATGAGATGTATTTAAGTCAGTATTTCCACTTGGGCTGAATATTATAGTGGTTGTTCCACCCTGCATGGTTGTGATGTTTTATTTACCAGCTAAGTTGTTGTAGCAGTCCACTTGTGTGTTTCTCAGTAAAGCCTCCTGTTCAGGTGTGAGAGCAGGTGTCTCAGGTCCAAACCCTTTCACTGACGTCATCACATCAGAGTCGAGGCCTCGGAGGACAAGCAGAGAGCGGTGATAACGACCTATGGCTGAGCGAATGTTCTTCTCCCTGTAGAAAGCGTTTCCTTCCGTTTTCATTTGGGCTGCTTCCTCTAGCAAAGACCAGACTGGCTTTGTGTAAGTCCGTCGGTGTCCAGAAGTGCTTGGTTCTGCTGCTGCTGCCGCCGCCGCTGCCCCCTGCACATCTGGACTCTCCTCTCCTCCTGTAGCCTCCATTTCTGCAGTGGAGCTCATTAGCTGGTAAAATGAGAAACTTAAGGTAAATGAAAGTGTTATGAAGTCATTGAAGAAGACATCATCTCAAGCTCCTGTTAGACGCTGCTGTTGTACATTTAGTCCTCCACTCAATGAACATACAATACCACCAATACCAATACCACTTTTATTGTCACTGTCATTATTAGACTGATATGATAAACCATCAAGGACATCCATCCATTATCTATACTGTTTATCCTTATAGTGTAACAGTGCTAACCGCCCCCATCCAGGGTAATAAAATCAAAATTTGCAGTACTGTATATATTATTTGGATTATTTCCTGTCCTGTTTGGCAGCACCTGAAGGTTGCTCAACATCCTACTGGATCATAATTTTTTACACATATGATTACAATCTTTCATCTTTCAATTTTTCATCCTGATTGTGCCTACTGTAAATTCACTATGACAGGGCACCTGTATTGCCCAGGGATGAAGTGTCAACACTACCTATACCTAATCTCATTTTGAGTATTGATACTTGAGTCAAGAGGATCAATACCAAAAAAATAATGGATCCATCACATGTTAGATGACACCCTGGGCACATGAACACATGCAATACTTGCACCTGCGTTGCTGATGTGTGCATTACCACATTACCACTGAAAACTGTCTTGAATTTAAACATGCAGGTGATTAAGTAGTTAACAGAGAATAGTTTAAAAACCATGTTTGGCAAATGTTTTGTTTGTAATTCAAATACATTCAGAATTAGCCAAGTATAATGTATAATTCACCACATATGTGATATATGATCATATTTCTCTCCCTTATATGATAGTACAGTAGCTGCTTTCCCATAAAAAAATTTTCCAGCTCTGTATTTCTTACTGATGTCTGGGACGATTTCATTAACACTGGGGTTCACTGATCTTACACTTTCATCCGTTCAAAACATACAGCCCGATACATGAGACACTACAGAACTCATTAAAAAGTATTTTTTTTGGCAACAACCACTTCCACCACACTGTGAGAAAACTTAACATTAAATGTTTTACTTTCATGACTACCACTTTGCTATCCTTAACTTGTATGTACCTGAGGCACTGCTTTGGCACATTAGTTTCTATGGCTACACTGAAGTCCCTCCTAGCATACGCCATAATTTCCAAACGTCATCCCTTAGCAACATTTCAACGACCCTTACCGAACTTTAACGAACAGGAGACCGGAGACAGGTTAGTCGCTACAGCTAAGCGAGCTAACGGTGTTACCAAGCTATCTTCAACTCCTCACTCCCACTAGCTTACTTTCGTTCATTTAAGGATGTCTACACATTTTAAAGGTGTGGTACATTAAAATGTGACGGATAAAGTGTTATGCATTATCTCACCTTACAAACTACCGGGACGATAATCAACCGAGAGCTAACTATTAGGATAGTTCTCCCAGTTGACAACCATTCTACTGCTATTGGTCACTTCCTTGTTTTCTCATGAAGTGGTAAAAACTTCAGCCACACGCAGCGTTACTGCCACAGCAAGGCCGACCGAGGAATTACAAGTACCGTTACATAGACACAAAAATATCTAAATATATTTTCGCCACATTATTTTATCAAAATCATGATAGTGTCTCTTTTGTCTTTTAGAAAAAAAAGTCTTGTTATAAAGTATTGAACAGTATTTTTAAAATTTACTTTGCATGTTAAGAAACCTCTTGGGTGATGTGCACTAAACAAAGTGAAATTAAAGTAAATTTTAGCCTCCCTACACTCACAAATGTATTTTGCTTATTGTTGCTTCACAGACTGGAGTATGTTCAAAGTTTGAAACTGGAAGACTGTTTTCAAATTGATCTACTGAAGATGGAAAGTTTGAGCATGATTGTGACAAAATCTCCAGTGCACATACACTGAGAATGGACCTTTCAGGAAAGTAGGTGACATCTTGCATCCGTTTAACTTTTAAAATTAAACATATTTGCATATTCATAGATTATGGAGTTTTCAAGTAGGAAGACGGGGTAGGCTAGATGTCATTTTAAGAATTTCCAATAAGGGAAAACCATTAAAAGCTCATTCCAAGCAGAGAATTTTTAAAATGTCTTAATGTGGATGGGATTTTTAAGCGCCCCTTACTCAAAAACCTTATTTGAGAGCTCAGACATGTTAATTGGGATAACTTTCAGCTGCATACCTATATAAGACATTATACACTATGTATGAGTGTAAATGTCACAATGTAAGGGAGGGAGTCGGAGGTCTATAGATTTATCCAGCAACTCCAATCATTCATTCATTCATTCATCCTGTTCATTAATACACAGTTTCCTAGCTAATTTGGGCATTGATTGATTGTTTGAATGTTAAACTTAAAATTACACCACTATCAAGGAACAAAAATCAACAGCCTCAGTTAATCAAACCCCACAAAAACATAATTAGAGCCAATGAAATTACTACAAATTCACTAGCACGTGCCCTTGTTCCAAAGGATGAATTCTTACACCATCATGTGGCCAAGATCATCATTTTAAAAAGAAAAAGTATTTGGTATGAAAACATGATAATATAACTATATAAAAAACACGTTTGCATTCCTTTAAATTGTTTCTCTGTCAGTTCTGCTGATTTGTGGTCAACATTAATTCAGTCTCATTTTGATCTTCAGGTTTCTCCTCCTCGTCTGCTATGTTGGTGCCATTGCTCTTTAATCTTAATTTCTGTGGCGGTTTGGGGGTTTTCACTTTGAATACATCCCACCTCCCAGAAATCAGTCCTTTGTTGAAGAGCAGTGAAGCCAGGTATGAGAATAACAAATTGGCAAACATGTTGGACAACATGCAGATAGTCATAACAGGAGAGCGCTGGACATACACACCGTCCTCAACAGTGCAACCTGGGAAGTGGAGAATAATTGGCAATCCTATGGAAGGATCACCACTCAGCACTCTCAACAACACCCCTACTATCAAGCCCATGATGGAGCCGTAGCCATTGGAGATGTTAAAGAAGAGGACACAGACGAGTTGAGGGAACATGATAGTGTAGGTTATGCTTGAGCCCAGGATCCAGAAAACCATGATGCTGTTGTGTAGGAAGGAGAGTGATGTGCCAGCCAAGCCCACCAACACCACAATGACACGGATCACCCACTGGAGCTCCCTATCTGATGCCTGCAGGAGGGAAAGAAAAGGCCTGTAAGATGAAACAGAAAAGAAATAATCACAAGTCTAATCTTCCTACAAGGTCTCCTCATACCTTGGTCCTCAGGATGTTCTTATAGATGTTGGATGTGAAGATGGAGGCAGCCGACAATAAAGCTGAGTCTGTTGATGACATCACGGCGGCAGCTACAGCTCCAATACCAATAATGGAGATGTAATTTGGGGTGAGGTGCTGCAGAGCAATGGGCAGAACCTGACCAGCCTCACCTCGCTCATATGGGGACAGGGGGCCATATAAGGTCATGTTCCAGTCTGACACCAAAACAAACAAATATCAAATAAATTATCATAGTTTCACAATTCTATTATACTCAGTTCTCAATTGCTGTAGGCCTACTCGTTGATGCTGCGACTGCTCCAATCAACACAGAAGGGATTCCAAGTATGATGATGAGGGGAGCTGCAACAAAGCAGGTGATCCTGGCTGTGGCTGATGAGGAGGCTGACAGCGTCCTCTGGTGGAAGTCCTGATATCCAAGGTTACCTAAAGTCTTTAAAAAACAAAACAAAATTTCTACATTTACTTGCCATCACTCTGGGGCATCAAAACTCCAGCAACACTTAGTAGTGGTAGTAAACAGAAGAACTTCACTTGACTGATGTGTTTCGGCTCGTGGCATTCATCAGGGTCATCATAAAACATATCGCAAGGGACTTTTAAATAAGATAGGTATGGAACAAAAAATACAAAACAGCCAATCATGTGTGAACACATATATAACTGCCCATGGGGCTTCTCCAAAAGTGAGTTTGGCCTGTGGTCATGTGGCTTCAGGTCAAACGTTGTCCCAGGCTAGGGGACATGGGTGCCACCCTGTTTTATTCAAAGCCTGGAGAAGTGCACCTCAAGGACTGTACAAGAGGGACCTTGTCCCAAACTGTGTCCATTTGATGTGGCATGGCACCCCCACAAAACTCTTAAATTTAAAAAAAAAGTTTGAAAACGTGCTTATTATGGGAAAGACAACAACAAGAAATTCATAAAAACATTTCAGAAGTCATCATAAAAATACATAATATACATAAATACATCCAAACCCAAAGGTCTTAAAAGTCAAACTCAAGAAAGAAGTTGCCAACACCTCTCAGTAGGAAACCTCCATAAAGGAGCTTTATGTGTTGATGAGCACTGGTCTTATAATGTGGGTTATTTACAATGTGACGTCAAGTCAAGTTATTTAGTTATTTATTTAGGTTTTATTGTTCTTTAGAATCTAGAATCTAACTTTTTGCCCCAAATGACCCTAAAATCACCACTGTCCTTACCACATACTCACCTTCTAAATTAAAAAAATATGCAGATTGGACTGCAACAGTGGGACCTGTCCTATAAAAGTGAATGTCGCTGACTGACTGACTGACTGACAGATCAAGTTACACCATTGGTCAGCCGAATGTTGCATGGCTGAAGTTACACCACTGATCATCTGGCCAAGGGTTGAAGTTTCCCCATGAGTTGTTGCTATTTCAAAATGATTTAGCGCAATCAAGCAGTGTTGACAACTTAGTGTCTATGTTGCCAGATTTGCCAACTTTTCAGACACCTATTCTGAATTTTTTTTTTTTGTAAAAAGCACCCACTGCTAAGCACCCAGAACTAAAATACTGTGTATGTGAGCACAGAGAGTAAGTCAGAAAAAAACAGATTAAGGGCTGAAATTGGGCAGAATGCAAATATGACGTGGTCCCACCATATGATTTGATAGCAACAACAGAGACCTGATTGGAAATTAGTAAAGAGTGAGGAAGGATGAGGGATCTCCCCAGCTGGACTCAAATCAGAGGTGTTACAGTTACATGGTCAGTGTCTGAAACCGCATTTTACCAGGACGCCCAAGGGTAAAGTTTTCTTATGCATCCCCTGATGGGCCGCTATTACAGCAGAGATTTTGACATATTAGAAAAAGCACAGGTTATACTAATTACTTTCATGATGGCTCTGTTTCATTCAAGTGCTAGAGTTTTATTCACGGTGAGCCAGCATGAACACAACCAGGATGCAGAAACTGAAGCAGCTAAATGGAATTCAGCCATCATTAAATTTTATTATCTTCACATGTGCTTTTCCTGTTGAGACGTGTGAAAGTGTCAATGGGGTTGGGGTTAAATGGCAGACAAACTAGTGCCTACTCCTCTGGTATGAATGACTTCATGTGCAGATAAACTAAACAAATTTACAAAATTACTGAATCCAGTCCTTACCAATATTAAGAAATTATCAATCCACCTCCATGCGCTTTCTTTTTCCACTGTACCAATCCAGGGGGCCTGGTAGGTAAAATTGAAAGCGGTCTTGGTGATGTCAACTGAGTGGGGGTTCATCATGATGAAAGGGACAGAGATCCACTGTAGAAAAGACAAGGAACAGCTGATATAAACATTAAAATGTGCATATTTGGTAGGCTGATGTTTAGAAGCTTGGAGGATTACCTGGAAGGAAGCATAAACCTTTCAATAAGAATTATTGTGTTCTCTTCCTCAAGAGCTGACCTTGCACTCAAGATTTCCTATAGTATAGTAGCAGGTATGGCACTTCCAAATGTCTTATTTCATTAATAGTCAGAAAACATAAAGTAAATGCTATTTATGGCTAAGGTATGATTCAGCTGCCAGATGCGGACACTACATGAGGAACTCACCAAACTGAAGAATATGAGTGTTAGCTGTATGATGTCTGTGTAGGCCACAGAGTAGAGGCCTCCCATCAGGGTGTATACGGTGGCTACTGCTGCAGAGATCCAAATGCAAAGAGCATAGGACAAATCCAGGATCACACTCATAGTTGAACCTACAAAAGTGACATGATCACATAGATTCAGATTTATATTCATGCATGCACAAACATTAAAAAAATGTTAGAATATCTGCTCATTGAGTTTAGCATGATAGCCACTGTGCTCTGTGTAATCAATTTGACAGGTTGACATGTGATAGATTATCACCAATTAGTAATGTGCCTGTTTTTGTCCAGGCATTCTGAAAGAAGTTAAGCATGTTTCAACCTTTAACTTGTTGATTTTCTTGAATCATTACAGTGGCTCAAATATAGGAAGCTTTTTTTCCCTGGAATTTTGCTGCGTATTAGCAGGTGTGTTGTGTTCTTGCAGGCAGATTTAATCACATTTCAAAACAAAAGAATAATAAGTTTCAAGAAATCATATAAGTCCATTATGGTGCAATAAGTAAATAATGGTAGGAAGAACAAATAGTGTTATTGCAGTAAGATGACTCTTAGAGAAAACTGACATCAGTATCACTTACCTAAACCGATAAGAGTTCCTGTCACCCAGATTATGTCAGCAATCAGTAGTGCCACAGACAGAACTCCACCAATCGAGTTTCCATATTTGATCTGGAACGGGTCCATCATTGTCACATATTTTTTGTCTCTCATCACTTTGGCGAAGAAAAGTCCACCTTAATAATTGAATTGCACAAAGAAAGACAGGTTTGTGTTTCTGTATGGGAATGCCACTGCATGTATCCCTGCATTTTCCTCTATTTAAAAAAGTTTTCCACTGATTTAGTATTTAAGTCCTATAATTGAAATGTTCAAAATCTGATGCAGCAAAACTGGATATTTTATCTTTTTATTCCACACACTCAAAAACAGGTTTATTATTACACTACCCACAATGCAACTTTCCCACTGACAGTTTGGTCAGAGATTCAGTTGTGTTATGGTAGTGGTGGCTAATGTAGCCTCAAGCAGGGATGAAGAGGGAGATGTAGTCTTCCGCCCCAAAAAACGTCTCAAATGACATCAATTGTGGCAATTATACAACTTCCTCTGGAGCCGCAAAAGGCTTTATACAACTTCTTTCACATATGCTCCTTGAGCACTACTGCATATATGGAGTTCCCCTTCACACCACATCTGAAATTTCATCTCATGCAAATGTAAGTAATTATTATTTGGTGCTGACAAGGACATGTAGGCTCTCGTCAACACTGTCTTATCGTACAGGTCTTGCTGGACCAGTATACATTATGATACCATCGTGAGACCTGAAAACCTGTCTTACCCACAATGAAAGACATGGCTGCTGTAACAGGCATAACAGCCCAGGTGAGTCCCATGGTTGGAGTGTACACAGCCTCTGTCATACCAACGATGAAACCTCCCCCAACAAATGTAGCTGCAGGAAGCACAACACACACACACACACACACACACACACACACACACACACACAGTATATATATATATATAAACATATAGGTTACTCATGTAAATCACACAGAAGTCTGTCCAGTTTAAGGATTATCGTAATTATTGTACATTTGAAATGCCGCATAAAATTACAGGCTAAAGGATAATAATCAAAAAGTAAGTGATGACATTCAATTCAATCAATATTGGGAGCACTACAGATTGCAAAATCAATATTTAGGCTAAATTATGTTTTTACAGCACAGGGGAGGGTCTGTTTTTCAGAGGGTCAAATTCAATTTCTTTGCAAACTTGTCAGCCTACTTACCAATAAAAGTTTAGTTTATTTAGTTTATTTAGTTTATTTCGAACATGTGCGAGTAACACAACAAAGTAAACTGAAAAACAAATAAATCCAATAACAATAGCCAAAACAAAAATAATAATGTGAACCCAACATGTCCGAAAAGGAGTAGGATGAAGCATATGCTTATTTAAACCTACCCCTTCTCCACTACTCAATTATCAGTCCTTCTCCCCAAACATATAGTATATATTTACATAAAAAAGAAAAAAAAAAAAAAAAAAGAAGAAAAAAATAAACACCCGATTATTAAAGCCCTTCTTCCTCCCTGTACCTACAGTTCATACAAAAAAGTGCAGAAGTGTGCAAATATAGATATAGATTATATAAAAAAGGGCGTAAGGCCAACACCTTAGTAACTCTTGGTAAGTTGAAGGTTGCAGAAATGAGGTATAATGTTCAAAATGATCCAATAAACAACATCTTCATTGTTAAGTTTAAACAATGGTAATCTAGAAAGTTAAAATAGCCAAAAGCCTGTCTACTGCATGTATAGGGTAATGTCATTATTAGTTCAATGCAGCCGAGAGGAGCTGTAGCAGCAAGACAGGACGTGTTTCAAATAAAGAGCTGCTTCAAATAGATCCAGTAAAATAAGGTAATGTCTTCATCATAAAAGTTGTCATGTGACGATCTTGTTAAACAATGTATAAAGATAGACACGTTGTGCAGCGACCGATAAACTGGAAGTATAAAAACTTAATGAGACATTAGCCTATAGATTAGGATCTATAAAAATAAACCAGATGTCCAGATGTTACCCAGAAACTAATTTTCTTAATGTGTTTCAGCTGTTTTCCCTTTCTTCTGCGCGCTCACCCGTCATGGTGAAGACTCCCACCACCAGGCTGATCCCCCTGTTTCCCAGGAGAGTGACTGCTGTGCGGTCTGCCTGGTTCTCCTTCTGCACCTGCTTGGACCTCATGGAGGCCCAGATGCCGGTGCCCAGCACCATCAGGTAGAAGACAACCATCACCACCAGTCCCGCGACGTTGAGGCTCATCGTGCAATGATACTGTGCCTCAAATGCTCATTCACTGATTACCTCTTGAAACAAAGACTGGATCAATTAAGAATTCAATGAGTTGCTCAACACCAGTAAAACCAGTTCAAGAAAAAAAAAATTCGGAAGCAGTAACATTGCTTTGATATTTTCGTTTTTGTATTTTACATTGTGTTAGAAATGTATGGGTTTAGCCCACTTAATTGTAGTCTAACAATGTTGTAGATTGCTTACATAGGCTATTGTGCAGATGGGTGACACTTTACCTTCAGTATCATGTCACTCTTTCAATCTGAACGCTGTAGTCTTTTTTAGAAGTGGTTGCTGACACTTGAGATTGCCCTCTGGCTATTTTCCACATGATTTCTTACAACATTTGGTGATGGCTCCACAATTCACACACATCCAAGCCCATGCTTATCTTCTACCAGCATCACCAATATGGTTTACCCATATTTAGGGTTATTTAATCACGCAACCTCACAGTTGATATCAAGAGGGCAGCTGCACAGGAAGCACACGTAATCCTTGTGTACAAACTTAAAAATATTCATTGTTACAACCAGCTCTCTCTTGCCCAGACTGGTGAGACTGATAAGGCCAGCAAAGTCAATAAATGTTTCTCCTTCTCCCTATGATTCAGACGAAGTGATATCTAAAGAACTGGACCAGCTACAGTGACAAGTTATTTATCAGCTACATATCATGGGCTGGTTAACTGGTGACCAGCTCGACCAGTTTGAGCTATAGGATTTTAACGAGACATGTCGTACTTTGATAAACGACATGTGGACACGATCTTACAGTTTCATAACAAAGAAACAAGCAAAACAAACAAGGCTTTATTAACGCGTCTCATCAACAATCATAAAAGAAGTGTAACGCTGTGATATGTACTGTTCTGTTATGTACTTCCTTGTCGAGCTGTGCGCACTCATCCACTCAGCCCCTTCTTGCACCTCGGCGCGCACAGAAGTGCGGTGTATGAATTTTTGTCACTTAGTGTTGGGTTCATTTTTTTATTTAACACTTAAATTTTTATTGAGTAATCTTCAACTTATCTATGATGTAAATGTCTTACACAATTTCCAGTCACTGTTCCTGATTTTGAGTGTTTACATTCAGCCAATTTCTGGTAACAGCTTTCTTACTTCCTGCGAGTACAACTTTGGTCAGGTAGAATTCTTCTCTCATCACAGCACATTTAATGTTCCCATGATGCATCACAGGGCAAGTATTTGGAATTCCATATCCCAAAATATTTTTAACAACTGCATTAACATTTTTCCAGCCTTATCTTTGTGCTGGTCCAGAATTCATTTTTCATTTTTCAACCGTGGAGTTGCCAGGATGGATGGATGGATGGATAGATGGATGTGTCAACAAATCACAGGAATTTCACACAGGAGGCCGGTGTTTCATTCCCGTGTGAAATTAACAGTTTGTTGTGTGTTTTAGTGGCACTCTTAGCCTTTTCCTAAACCTAACCAAGTAGTTTTTATGGCTTCCCCTAACCAAGCCATGACCATTTATTATTGTGACCATGGTGACGAACACCTGCCACCGTAGGGGCACTATTTCAGGAGACACTCCAATGGGTCGTATCAGAGGGTTGCGAACGACTTATATGGTTGTTCAGGTTGGGGGACTTGTCGTTTTTGAAAGCTGTTAGGCAAGCTACCAGCTACTACCTCTACTGGTGACTGCAGCTACCACCTCCTATTTGTACACAGCTACCAGCTTATTATCTGTTACCATCTCAGGTTCTCACCAGTTACTGTCTCATATTACCAGACCCAGCTAAAATTCTTATTAGTTACCAGCTCCTATTGTTAGCAGCTGTCAGTTCCTACAGGTGACACCAGCACCTGTTAAAATTCACCATCCTGTTTCAACTAGTTTTTGGTTTACAGTTGTTACAGCTTCTCTAACTCAATGTCTTTGTCAATCTCTTTGAATCTCTGTGTTTGAAATTTGCTCTATAAATATATTTGTCTTGCCTTGCCTTTAATATTATAATATTAAAACAAACACTTTATTAAATGTGTGGTACCAGGAGCCATCTTACTCTGGCTCCTACAGTGAGAAAGGATTACTGTATTACTATATGCAATATTGAAAGACAATCAAATAAGATGTCACCATAATCATGTTCTATTTGCAGAATTAGTGCAGCTCTGTCTGTTGCAACATGAAGGTAACATAATAAAAACTTATGACCTAAAGACACAATCCAAACTAGCTGACTCTTAATGAGTCAGTGTCTGACTCTGTCTTATTACAGCAGTCATGTGGGGAAGAAAATACATATTTTTGGTAGTGGGGACTTTGATACGTGTCTGTCTGCATCTAGGGTCCCCCTTCCCTTATCTACCTTCCTCACTGTCTTACAATACCCTTACCTTGTTTACTGACATCCCCCTGCCCTTCACTCTTGGTCAGTCTAATGTCTCAGATCTGTTCTGTGTCAGTAAACTCACTGTATTCTGAAATACACCACAACAGCAAACTTCACAACTAAGGACTTTAGTGAATTTTCTTCAACAAATGTTAAATAACAACTTAGTCGGAGTTATTAAAGTTTTCTAATGCTGCTGATGGTCTATTTCCATCAGTTAAACAGATCAAAACTCTATATTCATCTAATTACATTTCAAAAGTTATTACTTGAGAAGAACTGTAGATGCATCTCAAAATTGTAATAAATGGAATAATATTGTACAGTGCTTATGATGAAACTGACAACTTAGTGATATTTATGCAAATCTCATTTCCTTGTGAACTGTAAATATCTCTAAATGACTGCTTATGGTGACATTTAGTTTGCACTTTGCACTATAAATTATTATTCTCAGGAGCATGAAAAGATGCTGACATATGGACCTGCAGCTTATTCAGTCTTTGTAGCTGTTTCTCAAACGGAAGCAAACACTGCTTTATTTATCAGCAAACTAACTATTAAGTACCAACCTTTAACCATTCTGAAACACTGCTAGCAAGCAGTGTTCACAATTTTAGTGACATGATAGCATTAAAGTTCACCTGACATCTTCACCATCAGCATCAATGTTATTACCATGTTTCAACAAACTGTTGTCCGTCACACTGCCGGAGTGGACTGAAGAATGTACTCAGCCAACGGTAGGTTGGTTGACTATGGTTTACTTGTCATGCTGATAATGTAAAATCTAAGAATTACAAATAAAAACATGTCTAAGGGTGCCTTTGTGGCTCACGTGGTAGAGCGCATACCACATAGGCTTAGTCCCAACTGCATGTCATCCCCTCTCTCTCTCTCTCTCTCTCCCCCTGACTTTCCTGTCTGTCTCTCACTTCACTATCTGAATAAAGGCAAAAATGCCCAAAAAATAACTTTAAAAATAAAAAAGATTCTATGATTAAACGCTTTGTGAGTTCAATATTCCCTGAAGCCCAAGTTAACATGTTGCTGTCTGGCCAGCAATTTAAAAAAAATCAAAAAATGTTTAATTTACTATCATAGGAAATATTAACAATCAAACTTTGCTTTAAAAACTGAAGTAGTTGCAAAATCAATCAATCGATTCTGTCACTAATAAATTAACAAACTTATAGGGGAGTTTTCTAAATGTTCACCATGAATGAATGGCTCAGGGTGAAAGGTCAACATGAGACCCCTAGGTGTGTTATAGTTACTGCTTTAAATCTTACAGACACACCCATGGTTTTTCCAATCTTAATCTGCAAAGTAGCATTAGCTGTGAAATGAATGTACTGGACTATTTTCCTGTGAAATGTAGTGTCAGTATAAAGCACAACAAAATGGAAACACACTGATGCCTCAAGGCTGTACTTCAAAGTAATTTACTTGACTAAATGTACTTTTCTGGGTTGTCTAGCCAAAGACATCTGCTACTACCTGCTGCCCTGAAACAGATGTTTGTTGTATCGCAGCCAGATTAATGTTAGCAAACATTTCCCAGCCAGGAAGTTCAATTCAGAGTCAACTGGCTAACTTCAGCTACAAGTATAAATGTAGAAAGAAGCCGTTAGGTGGCCTCTAACTTTACCAGGTTTTTAGCAAATGAAACGACTGAATGAACATCACCCACCCATGATGTACTTACCAGTCTGCTGTGCCTCTGGTCAGCTGTCTGTGCGGATGAGTGTAAATTCATCCAGGACTGTCTTCGTCGTCCTCCTCTGTCTTTCTGCCTGTCTCATTGTCAATCATAGCCCCTCTTGTGAATGGGGAGGAGTGAGCTTATCACTGACACCTGATGTTGGGTATGGGGGAGGTTCCCTGCAAAATTGTGCCAAGGTTAGTTAGGAGTAAAAAGATGATAAATATTTGCAGTTTCATTTTACCCCTTTGGCTTAAGACTCCTCAGCTGTAAGTGATCCATTCTGTTGCATATCAGAGATGCTTGGTTATTTCCTGAGCGCAAACAGCAACGTCTTTGTTTAAAAAACTTTTTTTTTACTCACTGCATATTGGCCGTGTTTTCATTTCGACTTGACAACTTTTTCACAGCTTATGTGACCGGATAGTTGTTTTGAAAAAGGGTCATGCAGTTAAAGTAGTACCACTCCCTTAAAAAAAAGGCACCATTTGTAAAGGGTGTATAAGTTGACAACCGATCAGTTAGTAACCATGACTAAGAACTTCTCAGCTGCCAGGTTGTGGAAAATCCCCCCCCAGCAGAACACTTTTCTTGTCTGTTTAGCTCTGCTATTCATTAGGCAGACCTCTCAATGTACTGCTTGACCACTTATCTGCTAGAAAGGGTTCTAGTTATTAACTAATTGGTGGATTGTAGAACATTTTGTTAATTACTTATCAACATTTATAATTGCACATTAGTGATATTGATGGCTTACAAGAAATTGTGAAACCCAAGACACACCATTAATGTCATATGACACTGATCTGTCATGTGAGTGATCAGATACTTTTTATTATTGAATTGTATTTTGAACTGCGGATATGATTGTTCTTATAAATGGGTGACTGAATGACAAAATTGAAGAAATTATCTCCACTGCCACAACCCACAACCCTTGTTTTTTTTTTTTTAAAAGATGCAAGTCTGGAAAACAAACACTTGGTAGTTGACTGAGAGTTGAAATATTTAGATGTAGATATGACTCTCCTCCTCTCCAAACCCAGACATTTAAAATCTGGAGGTACTGTGGATATTAAATGAAAACTGCAGGGTTCATATCTTACCCCAGATGTATTCAGAACAGACTTTTTATGATAGTTTTGACACCCGTTGTAGATCAGCAGCTATATTTTTCCAGTTTGGAAACTGGAAGCAAAGTTGACAGCCCATTGAACAGTGGTGTGTTTGTCCAGACCATGAAGGCCTGTGATTATGTCTGGGAGAAAGGCAGAACTGTACAGCAACTCTATTGTCCAGCCTACTTGAAATGGCATCTGTGTCAAGCTAATTTGCATTTGACCTGAATGATGGTAAAAAAAACAACAACAAAAAAAAAACGTGTCACCCAGCCTTCTGCCTAATGCTAATCCCTAATGCTCCTATTACCACTGGGACCATTTTGGATTTAATCTTCCACATCCAGTTGCTCCTTCAGCCCCTGGTACTTTTTGATGTTCATGTGTTCCTTCTTACAAGTGTTGCTGTCAGTTGGGATTGCCACAGCTATCACCCTCTTCTGCTCCTTGTCAACCACAATGTCTGATTGGTTAGTTTGGTTGTGGATGTTGCTCCTCTGCATACATTGCATGTAACGCCTCTCGTTGGGCCTGCTGTGGTAGTAGTACTCCATCAGTTCAGTATTATCTGTTGCAGTCCATGAGTGTTGTTCCAGTAGGCCACTTCTCATTAATATGGCCTAATCCCCCTGAAATTAATTTGGACGTCCTGAGGGAGGCCTTGGACTATAAGCCTGCGGATGCTTACTGAAAGCTACAAAAAAATATTACAAGTCTTAAAAGCATGTAACAGGCTGGTGGACAACAAAAGCAGTGCTGCACAATCTCACCCCCTTTCTCTGACACTAAATTTCTCACCTGGTATGTATGCCTAGAGTCTCTACCAGCTCAGTCCTACAGTTGAGGTCATAGGACCACACCCACAATACATTTAGTAAATATATTTGCAATTTAACATTATCAATATTTACATACACACAGCACAAATAACTATTGCCTTATACAGGATAAATAAGATAGCCATAATAAACTCAAGAAATACCAAACAAACGTAACCCTCCTTCTCTCCTCCTTGACAACTTGGTTCAGCCTAACAAGGTAATTGACATTAGCTGAAGTACTGTGGATGCAGTCTCATGTCTGCGCTGCATGAAAACACGCCCCCGGAATTAGACCTCAAAAAGAGAGTCAAGGCCAGAGGTGTTATGTTTTTAGGTTGTCTGTCTGTCTGTATGTACATACTTAGTAATGCCTTGAGGGAACTTCTTTGAATTTGGCAAAAACATTCACTTGGACTCAAGGATGAACTGATTAGATTTTGATGGTCAGAGGTCAAAGGTCAAGGTCACTGTGACCTCACAAAACACGTTTTTGGCCATAACTCACAAATTCATACTCAGATTATGACACAATTTAACTCAAATGTCTATGAGGATAAAATGACATTTTATATCCAAATGGTCAACTTCACTGTGATATCATATTGTTCTGAAGACAAAATCTCTGGCTATTATTCAATGCTGTAACTCAAGGAGAGGAGATTGTGACCATATTTCCTGCAACTTGGCTGGTTGGCAGAAGCATACGACCCCATTTGTTCTGTTTTATTTTTAATAACTCTTAAAAATATTCAAGCACAAACACCTTTCTGGCATATTACACAATACAATTATACAATGCTTAAAGATGTATGTATGTTGATACAGTAGTGTCACACAATAAACCAAAAAAAGGCACACACACACACACACACACACGCACACGCACACACACACACACACATATATATATATATATATATATATATATATATATATGTTAGTCCCATCATGTTAAAAAAGGCCGCAGTGTGTGGTGTGGCGCACCGCTCCAGCAGTGTCGTGCAACAGAAACTGTGCACTGCACGTTTTCACCGAGGGAGGCAGTAACGCTCACTGACGTCACTTCACACAACCGCAATAAGCAAATATGGCGGCGGCCGTCGACAGTGTTGTGAAAGTGTAAGTTTACCTTTATTTATTGTAAGAGTAAAACGAGCAGCCACGCAGAGGTGAATATATAATAGATCAAACATCATGTTACTGCTGAATGCATAAGGCTATAAACATCGTATCCTCAATGCTGAATACAATAACTGTCCCAAGAGAATAACGTTATCCACTGAGCTAAGGTTAGCCTGTTAGCTGTGGGACAATATAAATGAGCCGAATCCATTGTGGAGATGTGTTTTAACTACTGCTCATCAATAACTTAGACAGTCAGGGGTGTGTTTAAGGTGGCGCCACACATCGTATCACCTAACTGTTGCTAGTCAGATGAAGGAGAGTTAATTTTCCAGTAAGCTGTCAGCTTGGCGGGCGCTTTGTTGTGGCGAGGAGCTTGCTAACAATCAACCTTTTGTTCTGGCATCCCTCCGTCGGTACTGTTAGTGTTAGGTGATATAATGAAGTATCCTGATATTGAATAAAGAGATTGAACAGTCTGTGAACAGTACAATGACTAATGCGACAAACTGGTTCGAGAGTGAAGACGAAAATAGATAGTGTATTTTTGAGGAAAGACACTCAATCGTGTGCCATAGTCTTTATTCATTTTAATTAACGTTGCACCGAAGATGGCTGCCATATTCGGATTATGTTAAAAAAAAAAAAACATAATTTGCTGGAAGTGAGAATTGTGAAATACAGTGTATGCGAACTGTGCATTATGCAAGCAAAGTATCAGTAGGTTGTCCAGTAGAGCCATCTTCAGTGATTACATTGCTCCTTTGTGGTGCACTTCTACAAACACCAGTTGGTGTGATCACATTGTTAGTGTAGTGTTGATTATTGCAGGATAGTGTGGCTCTACGAACCACATAATCATTCAAGAAAATGTGTGTTTTAATGTAAAAAATTGTCTTATTGTGAATGTGTCCTTTGTTTTGTAACTCTGGTGTGCACAAACATGTTGATAGACTCTAACTGGTAAATTGATCAGGTTGATATTAGCTTATTGCAGATAAATAAGAAGAAATTGGTGTAGAAATATTTCATAGGTAAAAGCATTTTTGTAGTATGACAGAAAAATGTTTCTCTTCGTTCATACCTTGGTCCCAGGTCTTTAAAAACCAAATGGAAAGGATTTTGATAAAATAATTTTCATGTTCTTCTTCATGAGGACGATGGTCTTAAGGGAGTTGAAAGCCAGTAAGTGGCTAGTAATGTATCAAAGTACTTTTCACAAGGTCAAGATTGAACATTGGCACTTAAATTTTAAGGGATTGTTATCTTTGTAGTCATTGCAGTAGAGCTGCAATGACTACTTGATTAACAGAAAAATAAAAGTCAACTATTTTGATAACCAGTCGATTGTTTAAAGTCCTTTTTTGAGAAAATGTGTCAAAATTCTCAAATTTCAATTTCTCAAATGTGAATTTATGGTTTCCTTAGATTTCTGTGAAAAAAAGTCAGTACGATTTGGACTGGTAACCAGACAATACATCTCATTTAAAGAAGTCACATTGGGCTTTGGGAATTTGGGATGGACATTTTCACAAGTTATGCACATTATAGATTAATGGATAGTAAAAATAATCGCCCTGGTAATATTATCTGTTGGAAAACCATGTTAAGAGTAAAAAGTGTGGCAAGAGAGAATTGATTACATAAGTGTATGGATGCATATACATTTAGAGATACTATGTGTATTTCTCATTTTACCTCTGTTTAATTTGCAGTATTTATCCAGCAATGATTATTAACAGTCTGTCCCAATGTGTGTTATTTGACCTGTCAGTGTCCAACTTACACATTTCAGGCTGGGAGAGCAATACTACAGAGATGCCATGGAGCAGTGTCATAGTTACAATGCTCGTCTTTGTGCTGAGCGCAGCATCCTCATGCCTTTCCTGGACTCTCAGACTGGGGTAGCCCAGTCCAACTGTTACATCTGGATGGAGAAGAGACACCGGAGCGCAGGTATAGAATTAGAATGATAATTCAACATGATCATTAAATTGACTTTCAGTTCAGCTATATCATGATGATATAGTCAAACCGTGTTATCATTTTACAAAAGAAGTGAGGGAAATTTTTGTTTTATGTGATTTAAAAAAAAAAACAAACAAACAAAAAAACTTTTGTACTCATTGTAATGTAGATCAATATTGGAAAAATAGTTAATATAATTACACGACTGTAATTTGTAGCATACCATCTATAGAGAAGGCACACCATACAAAGCACAGAAAGAGCCATTATTTTCACAGTTATATGTGCCACAAATCAAACCAAAACTCAGTTCACCTGTTTTTTTGTCTTTTTTTCCATTTGTACTGTTCTGTGTCACATTAGGCGTAGCTCCAGGGCAGCTGTACACTTACCCAGCCCGTCGCTGGAGGAAGAAACGGCGTTCTCATCCCCCTGAGGACCCCCGGTTGGCTTTTCCTCCTCTCAAAGCCGGTATGATATCTGATAGAATAACTCTTCCATCACAAAAACAGTCAAAGGCCTGGGTGTCATTCATGCTGGTCGACTTAACCAGTAAAATTTTGTAGATATTCAGTATTTAGTAAGTATCTGTTTATATTGAACATTTGTGAATAGGAGCCTGTGTTGTGATAATTAATTTGTTATGTTTGGATGTCTTTTTCTGTGTTCATGTCATGTCTGTGCATGCATTACTGTTGTGCTTGGTGTGTGCAGCAGATTTGGAGCTGGGTCTGAAGCGTGATGCATTGGGGGCGGTGGATGGCAGCAGTCTGGAGGCCCTGCTGAAAGGGGAGCCCCTCGACAGGAGGAGCGGCGCGTCGGACCTCCGCGGCCCTGAGGATGACACAGCCACTGTGGAACCTCCTGCCACGTCGACGGCCACTCACACGTCCTCTGGGCGCATCCGCAAGGTCAGACTCAAAGCTGGCTGGACCGTTTTGTTTTTTTTTTAAACAGTCATTCTAAAAGTATTTCATTTAATGACGCAGGTCCTTTTGTGTGGTGAATTGATACTAGAGCACAGGATACTGCATATTAACAGGTTTAGGTTGTTTAATGATTGTTTGCTTTAATGATGCAGCTTCAGTTTGAGATTTTTCTTTTTAAAATGACTGCTTGCAGAAGTTTTTACCCCAGTGTTTTAATTTCCGCATACTGTCTATTCCACTGCAACATAATGATAGCCATGTTCTTAAACCTCCCTGATTTCTCCATTTTGAAGTCAGTCATCGTCAGAGGAACCTGTAGCATGGCTGACGTCTTCCTCAAATCTATCCTTGTGTCAAACTCTCAATGCTGGCTCAAAAGTAAGGAAGGGTTCATACTTTCAGTGCAATGTGACCTAATCCAGACAGTTTCACTGCAGAGAGTCCTGGACCATGATGACTACTTGGATGACCTGGACGATGAAGACTTTGAAGACGAGACACCCAAGAGGCGAGGCAAAAGCAAGTCCAAGGTGTGTGCCGTGTCTTATTCTGCAGTCCCTAAGGGATCCCAGAGGATCAGTGTGTGTGTTTGTGTGTGGAGGAGTGAAAATACAACAATGGTTAGTTTCAGTGTAGGAACCAAATTTCTTGTCTGTTCACATGTTCACAGAAAACATGTCATTTTTCAAGCAAAAATGCCAAATGTTTGGTGGTTCCAGGTTTTCAGATGCAATAATTTGCTATTTTCTTGGTCTTACAGACATAAACAAGACATTTAATGACATCACCTTGTTTTCTGATCAAATCACACCAAACAATTAATCGAAAAAATAAAATGCAGATGATAAAAAGACTGTACCTGTGTATTTGATCGACATCCTCATCATAGCCTTTCTGTACTTGGTTCATATCTAATGTTCTTTGTTGAATTTTAAGTGTTACACAAAAATGAAAAGGTGAATTGTTTCAGTAGCACTTTCTGTGTCAACTGTTTAATGGGTTCTGCAGGGTCGCAGTGACAAGAATGGCAAGAAGAAAACGGAGGCTGCAGCTGCAGCGCTGGAGGAGAGGGACAAACCTTACGCCTGCGACAGTGAGTAGAAGCTTCCTTTGTAATGCCCGTGTGTGTGTCATGCATGTCAGCAAGTGAGGCTTTTGCTTTTCCCCCTGAAAGACAAAAACGAGCCTTCTGCCATGCATGGTATGATCTTAAAGACCCCATCTGGAACTAAATTCACGACATAAAAAATTGAAAAAGTTGCCCGACTGGATGCGTTTTTTTGTTTTTTAAATTTTTTTATTTTTTTTTTATTTTTTTATTTTTTTTCTGAGATGCTGCTCGGTGTGTGCTATGTAACTTCCTGCTGGCCGTAGTTCACTGTGCAAATGCTCACCTCCGCTATATGAGTTTGATATAAGTCTGAACATTTGTGAAATTTTTATTTTTTTTTTTTAATTATTTAAAAAATCCGGTTTGGGGTGATGAACGGCACAGTTTTGTGGTTCCATCTTGGGCCTTTTTGGACGGTACTTAGAATTAGCCGCCTTTACTATAACACTTTTGTATGACCGTGTGTGTGTGTGTCAGTCTGTGGGAAGCGCTACAAGAACCGTCCTGGCCTGAGCTACCACTATACACACTCTCACCTGGCCGAGGAGGAGGGCGAGGACCGCGAAGAGATCGAGGCACCACCCACTCCTCGCCAGCCTGAGGAACAGAAGAGTGAGTCACTCTCTAGTACTGAGAGAGGGGCGGAGAGAGAGGGGAGGGAGGTTTGGTTGCATGCCATGTAGCATGTGTGTGTTTGCTCAAGGGAAGTCTCTCTCTCATTCTTTTTTTTCCCCCCACTCTTTTCATTTTTTGATTTTCATACTGATTTTGAATCCCAACTCGGGGATTAGAGTCCATACTCCTGACTAAAACATGCTTGCACAGTCAGGATTCCTGGCATTTTTTTCAGCATATCATCCATCTTTTTTTCTTTTTTTTTTCTTTTTTTTTTTTTTTTTTTTACCCCAACATATCCATCGCATTGTTTTCTTTTGTGCACGCGACACCGTGTTAGCAAATACATTCAACAAGTGTGTTTTGTCAGTTGTCAGTCATTCATTAGTTTGGATCATGATTCAATGCATCATCAGCCAGTTACTGATAAATGGGGGTGTTGTTGGCAGACATGAACAGGTTTGTACTTTAAAATTTGAAATATTTGATTTGTAAACTTTATTATAATACAATTAAACAGCGACTCTCCAGTTTTGACATGTTCATCTGGAAAAAGACAGATGGATATTTAACTGGTCTTCGTTGATAGTTTAGAATGATAGTTCTAGTGTGCACTGAAAGGTTTCTTCACTCACTTTCCTGCTCAGCTACTAAGAAGGGTCCTAATGGGCTGGCGCTGCCCAACGATTACTGTGACTTCTGTCTGGGAGACTCCACCTTAAACCAGAAGACTGGCCAATCAGAGGAGCTGGTATCCTGCTCAGACTGTGGACGTTCAGGTATGAACTTTTAATGTCTCTTATCATTAACTATCATTAACAAGGCTATCTGCGGTAACATTGGCTTGGGTTACTGGAATGTAAGCGCTCCAGATAAACACACTAGTTGAGCAATTCTTACCCCTTTTTTGTTGTCATTTTAGCTTTGGAAAGTCTAGACTCTTTGTTACTGAATATCACTCTCACTGCAGCTCCATGCACATTGTTTCAACTGCTTGACAGATCTGCTGCGCTTGTTACAGATGTTATTCTTGTGCTCTCTCCTTCCTGCAGGCCACCCGACATGCCTGCAGTTCACACCTGTGATGATGGCGGCAGTGAAAACCTACCGCTGGCAGTGCATTGAGTGCAAGTGTTGCAACGTTTGCGGCACCTCGGAGAATGATGTGAGCCCTTTTGCATTATTCCCAACAAATGTGTTTCCCAAAAAAATCATGTTGTAGTGGTGACAGGCTGCTTCTATGGAAATTTAAGTTAAACAAAAAATTATATTAGCCCAGCTAACCTGAAGAAAACATTGTTATTTTTTAAAGGATCTCTCTGTTGCCCTGTTTACATGTGTCATGTGGTCCAAAGCTTTAAAAATATCAAAACTGGGTGCCCCGGTGGCTCACCTGGTGGAGCGTGTGCCACTTGGGCTCAGTCCTTGCTGCGGTGGACTCAAGAGACTCGAACCCGGGCCCTTTGCTGCATGTCATCCCCTCTCTCTCTCTCCCCAGCTTTTCATGTCTCTCTCAGACTGTCCCTATCCCAATAGAGGCAAAAAAAAAACCTGCCAAACCCTCCCCCCCCAAAGAAAAAATAATGGACATCAAGATGACAATATCATCAACAACAAAAATCAATACACATGATGCACAAATATAGATATACAAAGAAAGCAATAACACAAAAACATGAGCCTAATTGGATATGCCAAATATTGCCCTAACATATCCCATTGTAAGATCTTCTTCCTTGATATTGGACTACCTCCTCCCTACCTTCATAAAACTACACCCAGAACGTCTCACACCAAAGAAACAGCCCATTCAAATATAGTTGAATTGAGGTGAAAATGAAATGTGTACACTTAAGAATAAAATGAACTGATGAACCATTATGGTAAATGTCACTTGCACTGCACCTATCAGCCTGAGTTTTCAGATGATGGTTGGTGGAAAATTCGTGGTCGGTTTTCTCCTCTTGTCTAATCAGTAGACTGAACTTGTTGACTTTGTTTTTTCATAGGACCAGCTGCTGTTCTGTGATGACTGTGATCGAGGCTACCACATGTACTGTTTAACCCCTCCCATGACTGAACCGCCCGAGGGTAAGCTGACAATGAACACGTGCATGTTCTTGTATATCCTCATTGCTGGGTTAAAGGTCGGTCCCATGACATTGACTTCCACCCATTATATCCAAGGTCAACTTCATCACCCAATGCCTTGGGTCTGAGCTTTACTCCTCATCCTATAATCATTTGTTTAGAGAGCTCTCAGAAATCTTCACAGCACTGCATAACCGTTACCACATAAATGCATCCTTTAGAGGCCCACTGTGCACGGGTAGTTTCCCAAGCAACAGCTGCAATGTTATAACATTTGGTTTTGATACTGCAGTAAGGAAACAGAGCCTTAGTTGATGTGTTAAATTTTAAGCAAGGGATCGTGGCTTTTGAAAAAAGAAATTTTAAAAAGATCACCATGTTTTTTTTGTTTTGTTTTTTTGCTTAGTTCTCCACTTAAAAACAGCAATACTGATACATAATGACCAAAATATAGTAAACATGATAATTACTTAAATTGAAGGAGGGAGTTCCAAGCCAAGTTGTGAACATTTATAGTTAAACATTAATAAATATACTACATGTAACATTTATAGTTGTAGAGAAAGAAAGTTAGACTTAAAGTTAAAATTAATTTGGTGCTTGATGTATTTCTACACCTGCGGTTCTTGATTCTCGTCTCACTGTGCTTGTATGTTTTCCAGGGAGCTGGAGCTGCCACCTGTGCCTGGCTCTACTGAAGGACAAAGCCTCCATATACCAGCAGAACCAGAGCTCTGCCCCCGAGTGACATCACATCAGCAAGTTGCACCCCCTCAGCACCGGGACCCAAACCCCGATCAAAAACGTCAGACCTCCTCTCAGTTCGGAGCTCCAGGCTCTGTCCGGATGTAGCTGAGCCGGATTGCAGATCAGCTTTAGAAGTCTTCATATCTACAGCGACAATGGGGGGACTCAAACCAAAACAGACCTCACATCAGTCAACATGGGGATCAAACCATCACTACCAACCTGCCTGCAAAGTCTCTGAGGCTTGCCGTCAAACACATACACATTACACTGTTACACAACACACACTAGATACAGAGAGCATGCAGTAACCATAGTAACTGCTGTCTCTATGGCAGCTCCCAGGAGCAAACGGATTAGCATCACACGCTAATTATCTGCACCCTGTCACACTCAAAGACACAGTGTGGACTGTCGAGACAACACAGTCTTTTTTTTTTCTGCCAAATTATCTATTTTTACTCCCTGAATGTGGGAAAAAGAAAACTTCACCATGTATATGGTCTAAGAATATTATTATTATTATTATTATCATTATTATTATTGTTATTGTTCTAGTGGACATTTGTAGTGGCATTTGTCTGTGTACTTTTGTCTGATCCATTGCATCGATTATCTTTTGAAGAGGTTTCTCTGAGGGAAGCCGGTCAGTGCCAAGGTCCATCATCGTATGAAATACACAACAGTGACCCACAGAGCTTATCATAATCACTCAAAGTATCGTGTTTCATTTCAAATCAGTAGGACAAAGACTATGGCTTTGACTTGTTAAGCTGTTAGCACAAATCTTTGGCCTTGCTACTTTAGGGTTGCACCAAAACTAACTTTTCATCACTGATTCTGTTACGGGATAGATTAGTTACTTTTAATCAAACACTATATAACTGAGCATGTACTGTAGGTTGGGCTCATGAGATGAACACTTTTAGTATAATGTAATTTTAAGTGGTATTTCTCCATCAGACAGAACTAACATTCTCTTATTTTGAAAAACCTGTGTCAGATAATACTGTTGTTATTGGGGAAACTGATAGCAGCTCCATATTTTAGTCTACTCTAAGTCCAAACTAGTAACCATAAAGGTGCATCCGTTTCTCAAAGATGTTTTTGTGGTAGCTTTTTAGAAACCGTTTGGCAGTGGCATCGTCCTTCTCAAGTGATTGTAAACAGCTGCTGTCAAACCGATGACAGAATCATTGACAGACCGTAGCTGCTTTTATCATTTGTCACACTGAGGCAGATTTGCATGCAGACTGCACCTGTATGAATGCACACACACTCACATCACAAGTGTTTTTTTTTGTTTTGTTTTGTTTTTTTTGTTGTATTGTTTGTATTTTTTTTTTTTTTTTTTTTTTTTTACATTTTATATTACCTGATAATCCATTGGTATTGGGAGTTTTTTCTAGTAGAATTTTGTAAAGTCTATCGTATAGCAAACACTTAAAGTATATAGCTCCTAATGCATTCTATGTACTGTATTGACTTTTTCTATTTTTGTTATGACTGTGACATGTTTGAATTTATTTGATTATTCTGATATGTCAGACCTCCATTATGAGTATTTGTAAAATGATGTACTTTGTTGTACTATTTTTATTTTTACATTTCTTTGGTATTGAAGCCAATTTAGCCTGACTGAAATAAAAATCACTTTGAATTACGTGTCCACTGTTTTTGCTTTAAATACATATTTACTAGTATATTTAAAGAGAAATTTAAAGAACATGTAATATATGTTGATATATGTTTTGATCTGCTGTGCATGGTTATGGTGTCCTGCTTTAAATACGTTGTGTTGTTGACTTGTGTCCCTTTAGTCTTTATTGTTGGTGCATGTAAACCACAAAATCCCAGTTCCATACTTCATACTCATTTAATGCAAGCTTTGAGTATATGGTGTATTCATACTGGAAAAGTGACAAAATCGCATCAAGAAATGGAGGAGCTACTTATAGCTGTAAAATGTTCAGAGAGAAGTTAGGAAAACAAACAAAAAGCATTAAATCTTTTGAAAAAAATTTTGATTTCTCTGAAGTTTAATTTACAGATGTTAATCCAAAATCGTTTGGATTGACATGTTAACACACTCCATGTGTGTTAACATGTCGACAAAAGGGTCAAGTAAGTTGATTGTTTAGAAGTAGTAGAAGTAGATATTACATACACTACAAAGTACAATTAGTGTGGATTTGGGACACTGCAGAAGATCTACTGGTATAATAATAATAATAATAATAATAATAATAATAAACTTCATTTGTATAGCACCTTTCATACAAGAAATGTAGCACAAAGTGCTTTACAAAAAAAGAGACATGCACCAAGTGCTTAACATGAAAAGAAAAGACATAAAATGAACATAAAACATTGTTAAAAGCTCTGATCTGAAATGAGGCAGGTTGTCTGCCTGTGTGCGCTGTCCTTCGTGCTTATCCAGACGTTCTTGTTTGTGTATAGCATCCCAAGGGCATGACGTAGGTTGGCACCTAGTAGTCTGGATCCAGTGATGTTTGGATGAACACTGTCTGGTTTAAAGCGTCCTTTACAGATCCAGAAGATATTGTAGTTGTAATAAACTTTATCCCATGGTTGAGGCAAGTCTTATGTCAGCCATGTATTAAGGCCAAGGAGTCTGCTGAAGGATTCAATTCCTTTCCCAAGAGTTAAAATTGGACCAGAAATGTGAACATGTTGCAGCTGAGATTCACTAAATTTTTCCAGTAGTAGGGAAAAGTCTTTTCTTCAGAGCCAGTTTTCAGCCAGTCTTGTCTAAGGATCCAGTGTGGATAACATTGTTCATATTGCTTAGGTGTGTGGAGATGATAGCTGTTAACAGATCACTGACAGATGTGTCAGTCGTGATTAGATTTTTAGTCTTTGCCATTTATACATGCTTAGTTATTGAGTCCCCAATCAAAATTAGTGTCTGGCTCAGGTGTGAAGTTCACGGCATGTCTTCTGGCCCTCGGCCTAGGAGTGGTTTTGGGGGCTTTTTCTCGAGTTTTCTTCAAGCTTATAAGCGGTGTTCAACATGATTGGCCACGTTACTCCTGACATTCGGCTTAGCGTTGATTTCGAGCTATTTCTTGGATTTTGTTTATCCTTGATGCTAGTATTATTAATTTCAGCATCGTTAATATTGTTCAGAGGATCGTGCCTGTTGTGTAATGAGAGTTCAGGTGGTGGAGTGAGCGTTGGTGCTCTCCTATTTGATGTCCTGCTGGATTTCCCTCTGTCGCGGACGACGTCAGACCAAGGTCCTGGCTGGAGTTGATGTTTTCGGTCTAGCTCCGGTGCGGTGCCAGTATGAGGCATCAGGGAAGGCTGGTCTGGGAGCCTCCGCAGCTATAGCCCAGTGGCATTAGGACATATCCAGGGGAGAGTGTCAGTTAAGTCCTCTCACGTATGTGATAGAGCGTTTCAATCTTCTTCTGGAGCTCAGTTATCCTCTCAATCAGTCGTTCACAGTCCGAGCAGCTCACCGATTTTGCAGGGTTTGCCATATGTTGTCTTTTGCCAATGGGACTCTTTTCCGTGTCCCAGGTCCCAGAAGTAATCTTTCGTCCCGTTCAGCGAATCCACTATAGACGTTTTCGTTAACGCTGGTATAGACGGTAAAAATAGCTCTCTTTGGAAAAGTAGCCGATAGGAAGTTAGAAAATGCAAGCGCAAAGCATATAGAAAACAGAGGAAAACACGTCTGCACTATTCCTGGGCCACAAAAGATCCAGTGTGAGCTGTAACAGGCCTGCTGTTTCTGCTTGGCTCTCTTGTTCCAGCTGATCATCATTTAAATCAGTGGGCTGGCTGCTTGAACTGGCAGTGATCTGTGTTCAGAACATGGACAGCTCCCTTCAAACAGTCAGCTGAGCACTGAAGAGCTGTCTCTGGTGCTGAAGTGATGCAGGTCAACAGACTCTGCACTGACTTATTCTTGTGTTACTTGTGTTCCACTATTGCACTATTGGCCTCCACTGTTTATTTTTTGTATAATATTCAACATAAATGTTAATTCAACGCCCAGACTTGCCATGGAAACATGATGTCATTATGTAAAGGGCATGTTTGTAAGTGCTTGCAGCAAGTTTCGTGTCAGTTGATTGAAGATTGGCAGTAAGTGTTATTTTGTAAGTCCTGCATGTTTTTTTTTTCTTTATTTTGGTGATTTAATAAATGACAAATTTTGCATCCTCCCCCATTCACAAAACTCAGCCAAACTCTATTGAAAATGTTGAAATTTAGATAACTTGATTATGACTTTTCTCCAATTCTTGTCACATTTGTTAACTTTAAGTAAAAGAAAATTCAAAACATAGGTTCATTCATTTTCAGCAGCAGTTTGAATGAGCATTTATCTGTGGCTTGTTAAAAGCAGAAGAGAAACCTCACAGAACAAAGTGTTTTATTGCACTCAACAAACATACACGCAAGGACTTTCTCCAAACACAGACATTCAAAAACACCTTGTAGCATACAGTCGCCTTTGTTCCAGCAACAAAACATGACCTCTGTGCTGAGAATCTTTTAGGAAAGGGAGGTGGGGGTGGGGGTGGGAGATACATTATGAACAAGGCCAAGACAACAGTGGCTTAGTGCAATTATCCGGAGCGTGATGATCAGCCATGCGATGCCATTTACAGCTACAGACACAAAGGCGTAATGAAATCCTGACATTAAACTTTACATAAAGTAACTGCACAGACTGAGAAGCAACTATATAAACTTACATGTATAATCATCTGGTCGTTGAGGTTACTTATGGCAGTCATAAAGTAATAACAGGTAAACTAACACACTTTGGGATTCCTTATACAATATTCTTGGTTTCAGAATACAAATTCAATACTTTATAAATTTGTTGTGAGACAGTGCATTATCAGTTGGGTTTGATTTCATAAAATCTGGGCTGGAAGTGTTCGGTACAAAACTATGTAAAATACTCGTTTATCAAAGGTAAACAATGTTGCTTTCAGGCAGTCGGTGTTGCATTAACACTGCTCAAACATGTACAGCCACCGTGAAATGAAATGAAAATTCGTCTGCCCACACGTATAATTAATAATGGCAGCAGTGAGGGTGGAAAACAAGTTCGACCACTTCTTTAAATCTGGGCGTTTGACCATACAGGTGTGTCCTTTTGTGTGACTGCAAGTGTGTGTGTGTGTGTGTGTCCTTTACAGCCTCTCAAATCCGACGGAGCAGAGGAGGAAGATGGCGTAGAGCAGCATGAGACTGAGTCCCAGCCTGCGGTCCAACCTCCAGCGGTTCAGATGGACACAAAGCACCTGAGGAGAGACAGACCGAAAAAGAGAGAGAGGTTCTGTTCTCACAGCTGCAGCCAAAATTAATACAAGTCAAACTCAATTTCCTGTTGCACTGCCCTAAATATAATCTCAAATAGGAAAAAACTATTTCTCTGGGTCTAAAAACAGAATCCAGCGCTCTCAGGCCATAGATGATGAAAAACAGGCAGCTGATGTTGGTTTAGACTTTGTGTAATCATGCCACCATCTAAGAAACAATTAGATTAATCTAATTTTAACAACACAGGACAGTTCCGGTGTTGAACAGAGATCAACTCACAGTAAGTGCGACTGAGGCCAACAGCAGAATCACTGAGTACACCAGGCCTTTGCTGTTGATTGTCACCTAAAAACACAAAAAACATCATCATCATTTTAGTGATCAGTTCCATCTTACAATGTTCATTCAGTTTATTCCAGGTGTTGTTTTATACTTAAATGCAGTAATTTACTTTATTTTGGCCACTGACTACATTCACATATGCTTCTAACACAGACAGACGTGGCCTCATTTCTTCTTTGAAATGCTGAACAATATTTAGATTTAACATTTTTACAATGTTTTACAGTAACATTCATAAAACTGCAATAACTGATATTTTTTTCTCCTTTGAGGCAAGACCAAGTTGGGAACACATGTCATCATCTTTTAAGTTGATATGGTGAGCCTGTTAGCAAACTGTTGCTTATTTACACATCCAGTAACGTTACTCATTTGGAGTTGTTTGTGCCCTTGTGATGAATCTAAGTCCAGTATTCCCTCTCTTTTAGTTCTGTTTTTGGTCTCTACCACCTCCTGAGGGAAATATCTGGCTCTTTTGTGGTTAAGGCTCCACTATGTTCACCAGCCAACCATTCAAAACATGTTGACTCTATAAATGTAAAGGATGAAGCGACACCATGGAAACAGCAGTTGACAAAACAATCTCAGCATATGATTTGAATCTTAACCACTAGGTCATTGGATGCCTCACCAAAACAGTTTATGTTATAGTCTTAAAAGGTTCCTAACCCTGAACATGTGCAGGATATCTCTATATTTTCATTCTTGTCAGCTGTTTAAGATTTTAGGTAGAGAGAACAGCTGGTGTTACCACTGATCCATAGCTGACTATGAGAGTCCTCAGCGCCCAGGGGAAGCCCAGGCCCAGCAGCACATCAAAGATATTACTGCCAATGGTGTTAGACACGGCCATGTCACCCATCCCTGCAACATTTGACATACGAAGAAACACAAAGTGGAATCATGTGAAAATATGTAAGCTTTCAGATGAGTTTTTGCATATGTTCACATTCTCATTTTCCATGACTCATTCCACACATAGCTACAAAGGATCATGAATCATGACTGATTTAGTCTGTCCTGTCCTTTTCTTGTGAAACACTTTGTAAACACTGCCTTGTAATTAAGCTTAAGTTATTTTCTTTTCATTTTAATCTATGATATTCATAGTGTAATTATGGGAGAGAACATACAGTCATTTTTTTACTCTTCATGCTTAGATACAGAGTAGTGGAAGGATGTTAATTTTTTTTGTGAAACTCAAGCAAATGGGAATTGATAAAAGGTGTTATGATGTAGAAAACACCCCACATACTTAATTTCCATTCAGATGTCATTTGGAAAACTAAATTTGAGGAATAATGACCAGAGACTACTGTTGTGTAAATACTGTATGTTATGAAATGTTTTTGGCAGAGAGATCATTTTTGTTTCTGCTTTTTCCAAGTTACTTACATTAAATCAAATAAAAGCCCTAGCGTCATACAAAAGTATTTCAAATGAGTTTGACAAAACAATCTTAACTCAGGGTCTACTTACCAGCTTCTTCCAGAGCTTTCAACTTGCTGATGAGTTGAGATTATATTATTTTTGAGATTCTTTGTGGTCAATATTCTGATTTAGATACATAGCAAACCAAAATGGGAAAACAACCAAAGTCAGCAAATGGTTTTAATCAAGCATGTACACACACACACACACACACACACACACACACACACACACACACACACACACACACACACACACACACACACCTTGTCGGGCAACGATGAGGCTAGCCATACAGTCAGGGACACTCGTGCCGGCTGCCAGAAAAGTGATGCCCATGATGACTTCTGGGATTCCAAGTGTGTAGCTGATTATGGTCACCTGGATAGAAGGAAAGAGGTTGTTTATGTGTGTGTGTGTGTGTGTGTGTGTGTGTGTGTGTGTGTCCAAGCGCTCCTGTGTCCATGCGCTTCGTACCATCCAGACCATGAGGTAGGAGAAGAGGGCTATCCAGAGCGTGGAGGACAGGAAGGTGAGCAGGTACCATCGCTCCCACCGCGGCAGGTTACAGTCGGGGATGGTGCAGTGAAGCAGGACGCTCACAGGCCAGGACAGCAGCCACTTCAGACGCACACACCAGCCATCTGAGAACGTGATGAAAAGACACACAAACACACACACATGCACATACAAGTTTCCCCACCGGGATCATTACAGATTCATCTAAACTAATAAATTATTCACATGGCACAGCCTGGATGTGTTTGAATCTTGCTGTCGTCCCTCTCTAATTAGCTCCATTAACTGTAAATCCATCTATTATTCTGAAAAACATTGACATTGGGTGAAGCAGGAGTCAATCTTTCATGGTTCTTTTCCAAAGACAATTGTTTGGAGACACACGTTAGTGTGAGTTATGACGACCTACTTGTTGCTACTGGTCCAGAGGTGTCAGTTACAACCTGAGAGATGTTTTAGCTTTATGTAGGTATTTGACACATGAAAGAGTGTGGCAGTAGTTTGTTTTGTTAAAACAGCCATAAGAAAACATCTTTATTGACAGAACATTTTCCTTGTGAAAATGACTTGTGTTTATGCTGATCTCCTTTTTCCTGATCCTCTCCCAATCTTTGTGCCTTTGCAATGATATTCCCCTGACTAAAATGGGAAGCAACATGTTCCTCCAAGACAGATGTTTCCATTGGAGGAAACGTACTACTTATTTTACCACTTGGTCTAACTATTTTTCAAGCAATTTTGTATCAAGAGTCACATTTGTCTGCCTAATGTACTCGTCTATCCAATAGGACATTTCCACCACAAGGAATTTTCCCAGGGGAGCCAGAGCCTAGTGGGAAACTCAAGATCTTTATCTGCATTTTGACCAAAGACTAAATTTAGATCCGGGTGCCAAAAATGTCCCTGTCATAGCGGAGTCATTCATTACATCACCTCAGCATCTGTCTGTGGCCTAATTTGCCTTACCTTCATGGTTCTTCAGATGCAGTGGAAACAGGAATGGGCAAAAATAACTTTAAACTTGTAGTTTAGTTGCTTTTGTTCCATGGTTGCTGAAACTACTGAATCAAAACAAGGGTTGGGGTATACTCAAAACTAGAGATGCGATAGTGCTAAAAATACAGGGACAATGGTGCATATTTTTAGATAGTCTCTCCTGGGAGACATTCATCGTGTTGTACTTCATTGTGATAGAAATAGACGCGTAGAGAAAGAAAAAGGAGGATCTAGAGAGAGAAGTTAAAACTTTGGCTCTTTTCTCACCTATGCACAGATGGAGAGTCATGTCCTGGAGAGGTTGTGAATGCCAGATTGCTGATTTTGAAAAGCTACAGATAATGATCGGACCCCTCACGCCTTATAAGACATTTGAAAGGCATGGGGGTGGGGGGGTGGGAGGGGGGGTGAGATCCACGATGCTCTGATCTGATCATCTGACAAACGGATCGGATGGAGTATACTGGCCTCTTAAGAGGGGGCATCTTTTTATGAAGTTGGCCAATAGTTGTCATATCATCAGCATAAGTTTGGGAGGTTCTGTGGTGTAGCTGTTTGGTTGCTAGTTGTTTTTGAGAAATGAAGCAATGAAAATAATAATTTAAATGAGATTCAGGTTAACTGAGGTCAGAAAAACATTACTTCAGTGTGCTCAGAGATTTAATTCAACTAATAAAATGATAGACAAGTGAGACAAGTGAGTGTCTGCTTTCATTATCCACTCACCTGGCAGAATGAAGGGTTTGAATGGAGTGTTCTCCTCTCCTTCCTCTTGCTCTTCCTCCTCCTCCTCTTCTTCTTTAGGCTGTGCTCCCCCACCTGTCTCCCCCCCCATCTCTTTACCCCTCTCCGTCTCTCCCTCCAGCATCTGCCTGTCTCCCTCAGCCACCGTCCCATTCTCCCTCCCCCACGACCCGCTAGCACCCAAACCCTCCTCCCCCGAAGCTCCCCCCTCCTCTGGGCCAACCCGAGCCCGAATCAGCCTCTGCCTCTGTGGGTGGGGAGGGGAGTGGGGTGAAGTCAGAGAAAAGACAGAGGAAAAATGAAAAAAAAAGAAAGAAGAAAACAAAGTGACATGAGAAACACTGCGGCAAGCTTATGGAATAGACTTCATCTGACTGTGGATAACAATATGAGAACTGGCAGGAGGAGTGATTATGCAGCCAGGCATGTCCTCACATTCACTGGAGGGGATTTGGAAGCATTGATCAAGGGGCATGGCACAGAGCAGGGGCAGCATTGGCAGTTGCGATTTAATTTGGCACTGGAAATGGCAAGCACACATGCAGGAGAGCCGAGGGAGTGAGGAAGCAGATTTGGAGATTGAGTTCTTTTCTGCTTTTGTGTCTAGGATAATATTATGCATTAGGCAGCAGTGTGTATGTGTCTGTGTTTGTTTCTTTGTCGGCTTATTACATGGTGTCCATCCAACAACAGCTAACAGGATGGTGTTTGATATGCCAGTACATATCTCCCCAGCTTTCAGCCTATTTACTTGAGATGCACCGGTCCAACGTTTTTCTCTTCCAAGACCTCAATTTAGGATATCTGCCGATGCTGAATACTGATCCTAAACCAGTGCTCTCATTTCCCAAATTTGAAATCTGTAAACTTCACTGTGTGAAACTCACTGGAGGGCTTTCATTATGTAGAGTAACATAAGGGCCAGGGATTGCTATGGCACTGAATCCTGAGCTGGCAGCCTATTATGACTGAATGAATGTAACTGATAGCAGATTTAATTTTATGACATTAACAAAGAAACTGTCTGATCCGCTTAATGTTGGTTAGAATCAGACATGATTGGGGTGTATCACACTGGTAGGATGGCACTTTTCTTCCAACAAGAATAGAGCTAAAGCTTGTTTATGGTAACTTTAAGTGAAGGTAAACTGTTTCACAAAGTGAAATGAAAGAGGCAGGTTCAATTTGTGACCAGTAACAAATGTTTTTCACCCCATTCTGCATAGAAATGACAAGACGAAGACAAATTTTACTCTCACTGTGAACAAATTTACCTTTAGTTGGAGGTATGCCGGTTTAAATGCACCAGAGAAACAAAGTTATTATATTATATTATTATAAGATCTCGGTATCAATTTGACAGTAACATACTGATGTTTAAAATGCTGCACATGCACATTTAAATACCATCCAAAACTAGCCGAAAAAAACAGGGGAACTTGGCGTTATGTGAAGGGTGTGAGCGCTTGCAGTATACCTCATTGATGACCATGCGTCCTGCCATGCGCAGGCGGGTGAAGGGGGGGAAATGCGGGGTGATGAGAAGGCGGAGGCTTGCCTCAGAGAAAGAAAGCTGGTGGGGGTGCAGGTGCAGCAGCTCATCCACCATCACCACCCCTGAGTCCTGACCGGCCACCACGCTTGAGTCTGGGGAAAGTGAGGGGAGATGGATGAATATTACCCGGACATAAAAGCAGAAAGGAGACGATAGTTTCATAAGACACAGGTAGTAAAAGACAAAGTTTGAGAAAGAAGGAGAAAGACACACAGAACAGAGTGACAGAGAGACATAAAATGGAGAAATGGAGAAAAAAAACTTGTCCATCAAAGTGATCTAGTTCTTTGTCAGCCTGTTGAATCCACAGAGGAGCAGAAATGGGTTTGACTGGCAGCCTAAACTGTGTCATTAGGTCTGTTGAACGCAGCTCAGAGACTGAGGGAACTTTCTGATGTTTTCGATGCACACATGCGCACGTACAAACACGAGCTCCTGCACCTGGCTTCAGCGGCACCATGTCGTTGTCACAGTCTCCGACGTTTCCGACAGCAGTCGTCCGTCGCAGACTGCTCAGACACGGCAGACCTGCCCTGCTGCAGTGTCTCTCTACGAGGCTGCACAGAGATCTGTTGAACCTGTACAAACGACAACACACACAAAGATATTGTGGCTTTAGTGTGTGTAGAGGGTGTGGTGGCTTGATACCAACAGGATGCAACTGTGAGAGGAAGAGAAAGAGACTCACTTCATAATGATTATGTAGATTCCATACATAGAGATCAGGATGATGGTCTCCCACCTGAGACATGAACACCACATTCATCTCAATGAAAATCAGCCATCTGATCTAATCTGATATTCAAACAGCAGAGGCTACTGAGTCATAAAGTTTCATTACAGTCTTACCACAGGACTTTTTCATCATAGATGACCTGCAAATAAAATGAAAAATACTTTAATTACAACTCAAAAACTTTTTACATGTCTCATCAAAGGAACATAAAATATTGATTAGATAATGAACAATATATATATATATCTTTCTCCGTCTCACTCACTCTATCTATCTATCTATCTATCTATCTATCTATCTATGTTATAGTTTGACCAGAGGAGGATGTCTCACCAGAATAAGCACCAGTATGGACAAGATGTAGAAAACAGCATCACGAAAAACAGGCCACCAGCTCAGGGTGATGGGCTGGAGAGAATGAACACACATAGTACATTTATATTAGTTTGATCAAGGACGTTGTGGGCCAAAAAGTTTGACTGTTTTTGGTTGTCAGAAAAAAAAAGGAAAAGCCTTCACTAATATTTATCTACATTGATAACTGATAAGTTTCTATTTAGTGATTTGGAAAAGGTCAGGTCAGTGCTCCTTTTAGTTCCTGATTTGAACACAGTGTATGTACCTGTTTAGAAAAGATGCCACAGATGCCGATGATGACCAGGATGTTAAAGACAGCGGATCCCACAATAGTTCCCACGCCCACATCTCCTTTTGTGATAAACACCCCTAAAAACACAGAAAGGTAAAGAACAATAAATCATAAAAACAATGTCACAGTGTTCAATCAATGATGGATTGTATCTTTCTCCCATACAAACTAAGTGAACAAAGTTAACACACAATAGCTCTCCACTCTGACCAGAAATATTGCATTTTTGGTTCATAACCACAGGGGCTGGGTAGATGCGTTTTATCCTGCCTATAGTCACCCCAATACTAATAAAATAGATTATTTTAGTGGCAATATAGTGGAAATATCCTTAAGCCACATGGATTTAGACACAAAGTTTTCATTCTTATAAATCAGAGAAAGACATTTGTTTCCAGAAACATCACCATTTTAATAGACTACATCTTATATCCTCGATCAAGGGGCACTAGAGATGTGTCCGCTTGGTAAGGTAGAAGCTTTTTTTACTGTATCTAGGATAAATCTCCTATATTGTTTAGTTTCTCAGATTTACAAAGCGTGTGCGAGGGTTTCTTTCTTTGTTTCATTTCTGTTTTGAAATACTGTGAACAACATGCTGTGAACAACAAGACTTCTTTAGAAGTCTTTAAGACAACTGACAACTTTTGTCTTATTGATTCATTGTTGTTTTCTACTCAAAATCATTTGTTTCATCTAAGTCTACATTTACTGAAACCCTAATGGCTTTGTAAAAAAACAGAAAAAAATGAAAGCTTGCTGAAGAATCTGGGCTACAAAGTAATTTATATTTAAGCTGACAAACAATAAAGCAACATGAAACATGCTCTCCTTGTTGTCTCTGTTTATGTCTAATGCTTGAAAAGGGCCAATCAGTGCTTCTGCCTATGTACACTTGACTTTTCTGAGTCCTCATCAGGTGAAGATGCATATGATTGCAGGTAAGGAGTAATGATGGAGCAATCATTGGGCTGACACATTGGGGTGAGTAATTGACTAGACAAGCATTACTGACCAATCAAAGAGGTGAAGAGCTCAGGGGCGGAGCTCCCAGCTGCCATAAAGGTTGCCCCAGCAACATCCTGACTGAGCTGAAGGTTCTAGAGGACAGAGGAGTTTAAACAGATTAAAGAGTAGGGCTGGTGATATTATATATTTTTCATATTGCAAACAAATATCACTGTATATCCAAACACTATTGCACTGGCTGACATGTGAATTTATTATGATAAACATGGGCACTGTAGTTTAATATGAGTCAATACCACACACTGCACATAAGGTGCTAAATGTGAATTAATCCACAACTGAAAATAATATCAAACAAATGCACAGTTTACTTCTTTTGAGTGATGTTAAAACTATGGTGCCCAGCTGTTAGGTGGATTCATGCAACCCTGATGGGCATTTTTTGTCAGAGATGTGTCACCTTGCTCGACCAGGGAAACCGTGGCCTCCTCCTGGAGCCATGTTGGATATTGTTGTGCTGTCTTGACTGACAAGCCTTTTAAGTGTCACATGGAGGTCAGGGACATTGTCCGTTGACTGGCAGACTGAGGCGTTGGTTTCCATATTTAAAAAGGAAGACTAGAGATTGTGCTCCAGTTATCGGGGTATCACACTGCTCAGCCTCCATGTGAAAGTACAAAGCATTTCTCTAATACACACATACACACTGATGGTACATCACCAGTACATTTGGAGTTCAGTATCTTGCCCAAGGACACTTCGACATGTGGACTGGAGGAGCCAGGGACGACCCGCTCTACTTCCTGAGCCACAGCTGCCCCTTTGCATGGTTACTGGAGGGGTCATGGGATTTTACCCATACAATCTTCATGTGTTTTGCAGACTTGGAGAGTCCTAGACTAGAGAGACTCATCTCATCTGGCCTAGGAACACCTCGGGATCCCCCAGGATGAGCTGGAAAACACTGTTGGGGAGAGGTACATCTGGACTACCCTGCTTAACCTGTTGACATCATGACCCGACTCCAGATAAGCAGCACAGCATTTTTTTTTTTTAAACCATGGTACATATATCTTTTGTTCATACCTCTGATACTTTTTCCAGTGATGGCACAAAGTAAACATCACACACGATGGCCAGCGCATGAAACATGTAGATAGCCTGTAAAATACAGCAGACACTAAATCGGTCAAGTGAGTTAGTCTTTGAGTTATAATGCAACAAAATGTAGCGTCTCTCATTTCAACTTCTGGCCTTCCTGCCAGCCGAGCTGATACTCACGCACAGAACATGAAGGAGTACTGCTCCCTGCCTCCTCTGCTCCAGAGTAAAGATATCTTCAGGGAACTCATTGATAGCTGAAGAAGAGATGGACAGAGGATAACTTGTTGATAGATGAAATTAGGAGATTTTAAATAATTAAAGCAAGAGACAGCCGACCCTGAGCTACAGCTGAAACAATTAGTCAGTTTCCTGATTGACAGATAACTAATTAGCACTTTGTCCCTCAAATTAATTAATCATAAACTGTCAAGCTACTCAGTTCAGTCAGAGGCACTTGAGTCAAGGAAGTGACCCTTATACACTTGCATGAATATGATTGACTGTTACTAGTCACACCACTGTGATTGAACCAGTTATTACGAATGAAAAAGCTGATGCCAATCAGCTAATATAAGTGCAAAATAGAAAAAGAATAGCAAAACAACTCACACTATGATTTGGTAGTGAGGATTTGCTGCTGTTTCGCTTTGTCACTACTGGCTCCATGTCACTTTTAGGATTGATTTTGACATAATCTTGAAATTATAAATTGATTAATCAATTAGTTGAAGTTTAAATTAATTCATAATGAAAATAATCCGAATTCCAGCTTCATTCAAAAGTTTTTAAACACTTATGGTACTTAAAACTGCACTTAAAAGAGTTGTTGTACCCTTTAAGCTCTCAATTGAGGAACTTATAACAGTTCTAAGGTCAGGTGGTTTGTTGTTACACCTCCTACAAAGTGTCAAAGATGTCAAATCAGTGCACATTTTTAAAAAGCATCTTAAAAGAGCATTTGTTTATTTTGGCTTTTTCTGTTCCATTTAGTTTGTGGATTTTATGTACTTATTCCTCTTTTGTCGTCCTCTTTCTGTTTAAAGCACCTTGTGACTGTTTTGAAAAGTGCCAATGTATAAGTTTGCTTGCTGTTCTTTGTCAGAAGATATTCATGTGACTGTAAACCGAATATATTTGGGCCTTGGAGTGTTGGTCAAACAAAACGAGCAATTTGAAGATATCACCTTTGGCTTTAGGATATTTTTGATTGTCTTTTTTTTGGTCGATAAGGGGAGAAAAATAATCAGCATATTTGTTATTTGCTGCTCACCATTGACCTTCATTCACTTGTGTTTGTGTGTGTGTCACAGTCATGTGACTAAGCCAGTTCAGTTGCATTGTAATTGAGTTTTTCGCCCATTTTCTTGTAAAGCACTCCTTGTGACTGAACACTATCCCTCGTGCCATCTGCACTTTGGTAATAATATTGACATTCTTTCCCACTTCTTATTCATCACAAGCACTCTCTTTCCAACTGTACATACAGTAAGCTCAGACAAATGACACAACTCACTGTGCCATAAAAAACAAACAAAAAAAAAACTAACACAAAAACACTCTTTTATTACAAGCTGCCTTTCAAGTAATTTTCCCTACAAGATTTTCTTTAGTTGTGAGTCAGGACTTATAAAAAGTCCACTGAAGATCAAGATCACAAACAACAGAGTGAAGCAAGTGTGACAAAATTGGATAAGATCCTGTACAGAGGCAACATTGTGCAGTTGCAGCTAACAGTTGCAGTGTTAGCTGTGCAGTTAACACGCATCACATGTAAGGATGGAGACAGAGATATGGTGTGATATTGTGACAACCTGTCACATGATGTTGTTTGGACACCCTGATTAAACAGCATCATTTCATCAACAGCAGTGTTTGAGGCCTTGTATTTCCCAGTGGAAGAAAGCTTTTTCTAGCTCAATATATGTAGCTCCACATACTCTCTGTAATTGGCTACAAACTCTCTTCATCTCAGTATCAGACTTTAAGATGCAGTCACCGTCTCTCTCTTTCAAACAGCCCAACAGATCCAAGCCCACACAAGCGATGAGAGAGCTGCTGATGAGAGGCTACTAATCAGCAGGTCATTAGGACAGGGCACTTTGAACAGCTTCAGATGCACACATCATCCAACCACAAATTCACAATTCAGTTTCCTAGCAACTGGGCCCCTCAAAGACCTAACTGTGTTTAAACATCTAGATATGCAGTTGGAACAAATGAAGGATGAGGTAAACTGGAGAGGAGAGGCTGATCGATGCACGGAGGAGATAGACTTGGATTAAACACATTAATAGAGATGGGACCGCACACTCACACTGCCTTTGCACACAAAGCACGCACGCACACGCGCGCGCACGTACACACGCAAACACACACACACTGCACACTGGGGTGTTACCAAGATCATTGCAGTGACTTTACATCCATTACTGCATGAATATCAAAACCCAAACTTAAATCTATGTTGCTGTTGGTTAAAAAAGGTCTATTTTTCTGTTTTGTGGGGATAAAACAGAGGAAATTCTCTCTCCCCTTTATCATGCGCACGTATTACCACATGGTAAATCACGTCTCACCAGATCTAGAAATACTGTCAGTCTGGTTATCTTCTTTTTGCTGGATGAGCTCTCTCTTGGATAAGACGATGTCACGCTCCACAGTGGGTCGATGGGAGCCTGAAAAGAGGAATTGGCAAAATAAATAGATACTAATGATAAAAATGTTATTATTATACTGTATATCAGTGTCTTTGTGAGATACTGTAAGTTGAGCATAACGCTTACCCAACTTTATGGTATTGCCTTTTTCTACTGTGCCGCTAAAATGCTCGTTCGAGGTTAAAATTACCCATTAATAGGTGTATTATTACCGCAATCTATCATTTGAATAATGTAATGATAATTTGCATAGTTATAAACAACACAGATAAAGGATGAGTTTAACAGAAATAAAATCATAAGTTATATGTTTTTTCTTTTTCTGGAGACGTACCTGTCACATCATTGAGGTGAAAGATCAAGGCGGCTGCGAGCAGACCGACTCCACATAAGCAGACACGCGGGAGGAGCCGCGTCTGCCTCGGTCTCCTCGGCGCCTTCATGCCGCCAGCCCCCGCAGCTCACCGTCTCTCCGCTCAGAACATGTCGCCACTGCCGCCGCTGTCGCTCCTCCTCGCACAGCCAGTCCTTTCCCTTGTTTACTGACTAGAGCAAACCAGCCTGTTGCTCTCGTTTCCTGATTTATTGTCTTTCAGCTGTTCTGGCTTTGGTCCCCATCCACGACACAGGAGGACGTAAAAGAGACTCGGCCTGTCATCAGCATCTCAGCAAGTTACAGTCAGTCAGTCAGTCAGCCAGTCAGCCAGTCAGTCAGCACCAACGAACGCAAGCATCCGCGCCCCCAAGCTTCAGCTCCCGCAGATATGAACAGACAACGAATATCAGTCAGCACCTACAGAATAATGCCCAATAATGCCACCAGTCCACACACCGCTCCAGCCCTAAATCTGATCCCTGGTTTATGATTTTCGCTCTGTCTGCGAGGGGGTGTTTTCCTGGAGTCACAGACAAGACCACCAGGGAGCGTCTTCAGCTGGGTGGGGCGAATGGAGAGAGCCTGGCAGCAAAGGGAGGCATGGGAGTAGTATGGACTCACTTTGTCTAATGCATATAGTTCAACAGCGACATTGTTAACTTTCTAATAAAGCTGGGGGCTTAACCTCTTCCTCGCAATAAAGTCTGTTGTGTTTTAAAAAGACATGAATACTGGACTTTCTGGCAGCTGGCAACTCTAAGCCTTTCCCAGAATTTTTCATGGTTTTTCTGTTGCCTTCAGTGAGGTGTTTATCTCAAACTATTACCAACCATCAATCACTCACCACTTTTCCACAGTTGTGTCTAAACTAAATGTTTCCATATCAGTATGTAAAAAGCACCCTGTTTATTTGAAATAAATTATAATTTATATATTTGTTCAATAAGTAATTTATAAAAGACTCAGTGACTTTGATGCAAGTCATTACTGTAGTGGCAAGGACAGATTTTTTTTTTAATTAACAGTTTCTTAGAAAAACAATTGTATCCCTATTTGATAATTGTCTTGGGTTGAACAAGCAAATATAAAATAACACGTGTCTTCCTAACCAAAGTGAAGCTTGAGGTACAGTGAGCAAGCAACTCAAATTTTTCACTCAAGATAAAAAGTTTTAAAGTTAAGAATTTCCAAGTCTTGCTGAGTTTGACTTTCACCAACATAAATTTGAGTATTTAATTAAAAACAACTCAAAAGGAAAGCGCAGATGATTTAGAATCAAATAGGCCTTTTTTCACAGCACAGGAAAAGCACAGGTGTTACTAATAACATTAACAATGGCTGTTATATTCAAGTGTCCCAGTAAGCCATGACAGTGTGACACAGCTAAACAAGATGCAGCGGTCATTAAATTTTTATTTTTTACACTTGTGCTTTTTCTACTATGACATGTCAAAATGTCTTCTGTGAAAAACTCCTTTGGATGTTTTATGAATTTAAGTTACTGAATGTAGTTTTTAAAGATCTTTCATGTCATATTAAAAAAAAAAAAAAAAAAATATTTGAAATAAAATCGTCAGTCTTATGATCTGCTGTGTAGAAAATAAACTCAACTACAAAAATAACCCACAGTCAGGCAGAGGAATAGACTTTTATGTTTATAAGAGGGAGTGCTAAGATCAAATCGGAGGTAGGGCACCATAGTGCACTCTGCAGTAGGGCTGTAACATTAGATGTGCACTGGTCCACAAGCTGCTAATGGAAAACAAATCACAGCTTCCTGCACAGCTTCCCGAAGCCACAAAGACCAAAACAAGGACAATGAAGATGCACATCATAAATAGTCTTGCTCTCTGGATGGCTGTCTCAAATGTACCTTCACGCCTTAGACAACAGAGAAGCCAGAGGGACGGTGACGAATAAAGAAAGAAGAAGAGAAAAAGAGTGTGAATATGATACAGAACTACTGCAAGTTCCAGAACAGAAAATTTTCTACATATTCCTACCTTTCATTCATCATATACCAAAGTACCTTTTGGTCTGAAGGTCTACTGTGAGACTTTGAGGTTTCAGCAGCTCCTCCTCCTCAGTTTCCTCCTGTGGACACAGTACCAGACATCACTAATCTACCGTTTCTATATCTACAGTAACAGAGCTTCTGAAACTGGGCTTTGTGGTGGCACACTCTAGTGGTCACTTGTAGAAGTGCAAAAAAGTCAAAAGGTCGTAAATATCTCACTAAATATCTATCTACTATTTCTAAGGGTCTAAACATATGGGTCACAGAGAGAATTCATACATGTCTTAGATGTTCGGAGTCTGACATGCTGGTTTTCAGTTCATCTGAAGCAGCCTGTAGCTTCATTTCGTCTGCGAAAGACAGAGGGGGACTGAGCGAGCCTTCATTTTCTTCTACCAGAGCAGAACTGGAGACCAACAGCAGAAACACAATCCAGTGTGAGTGCACACAGACGACTCAGTGTACATCATGATATTCATTCAAAGCAAGAGGACTTTGTGCGTCATGGTTACAGTATGGCCTCATCCTGTCTGTTCTCCAACTGCTTCCTCAGCTCCTGATTTGTCAGCCTGAGATCCTGGAGCAAAGAAATCAAAACATCTGACAGCAGTCAATAGTCAATGTTGCAAATTAGGTGAAATATCTGTCATGAGTACACCTCAATTTGTTCTGTGATATATTACTGTTCTTTTACAGACGCAACAACCAAATTTACCCTCAGATTAATTTCTTGTCATAGTTTAAGTAATTCATATGAGCAAGGAGTTGGCATGTTCAAATTGTACACGACAATGTCTAATTAACAATGAAATAATAACTGAATGGCAATGGATGAGAAAATCTTTACCTTTATGATGATGGAACACTCGTCTACTGTTCCCTCTGAGTGCTTTAGTTTCAGGTTTTTCTATCACAAAACACATACACACACGTTTAAAAATGTGATGTTCAAATAATGACATATAAAAACCTGTCAAAATACTCATGTTGAACTCCAAAGAGAAAGATCTAGATTTATATCAAAATCTTGGACCTTTGCTCAGTCAGTGCCTAATACTGAAGTCTCTGTTCCTACCTTATGAATAACTTCATCCCTATGCAGCAGCCCTAACTGAGCCTCCTCCATTCCAAGCTAAAGCAACACACAACATAACAAATAAGGAGTTGGTTGACAATGTAAAATGACTAATGGTAGGATGAATGGAGAGAGAAATACAATCAAACATCTCCAAGTTGAACCTGCGTTGTTACCTCGAGGGTTTGAAGTGAAACCTTGAATTTGCTCAAGCTTATCTTGTCCTGTTCTCTCTCTTGCTGGAGTTTCTTGAGCTAAAAAGAATTTAAATGTGGACAGTGTTTTCAAATTTCTGTACCCCTTCTAACTGTAGTATACTACATGATGATGACTACAGTTCGGAATTTGAATTGGAAAAATTATGTGAAAATAAAAGACATCATACCTCTGCAGTTAGTTTCTTATTTTGTTCCTTCATCATGGTGGATTCCTCCTCCTGCACAAAAACACAATTTGAAGGCTCACCTTGAGATATTTAAAATGCCAACCATCAGCCTATTGACAGACTGAAGTTTACCTGCAGATATTTATGCTAATGTGACGTTTCATTTAGATTTTGTGCTCTCCACTAGTATTGTGGTGGCAGAGCTGAACTGAATCCAGTTTCACTAACTGTGAATGCACTGCCATTTAGATGAAACCCATTATGCAACTGCCCTTTCTGACAAACAGGGGACGTTAAGCAAATATTAATGTTGTTAAGTCTCACAACTAGTCTTAAATTGTGGTGGTTTCTGAAAAATGATTCTTACAGCTCTAGGTGTCTGTGAGGCAAAAATTACCCACTAGAAACACAGCCGGGCAAATTGTTAATGCAATGTAAAACTAAATATCATCAAGGATTTTGCTTTCGCTCAAGTGTATGGCAGGTTAGTTCAAGTGATATAATTTTATGAACTGAACTCACTGTTATAGCTGAGTGAAATCAACTATAACTGCCACATCACCCACACATTTAAGCTTTTATTAAGTCTAAATACATTTTTAAAAACAGAAGTTCTACTGTAATACAATAACAATTCTGGTTACTCACCAATTTCTGAATCTTTCTGTCACTACATCTCTTGACATCAAGGTCATCTGTTAGGAGGGACCTGCTTGGCTCTGCTTCAATCTGCTGTGCTTCACTGACAATCTTCTCCAGGCTGCAGACACACAAAGAAAAGCCCCTGACAGTTTTTCCACCTAAGTGTTACGACACTGCTTCAAAAGCACTACAAAATTGAAACAGTGCTGAAAAATTACAAAAACATAAATACAAAACAGGAACGATTCTGTGGTTATAATTAGGTAAAGATAAAAACCTCTAAAGCTAATGATATAGTGGATGTGTTTATCAAATTCTGATCCAGAATCAAATACATAGCTGTGGTCTGCAAGTCCAAGGATGGGGACCTGGCCTGAATGCCAACAAGATGCATGAGAAAAAAAAAAACACTGGCTATGTTGAGGGCAGCAAGGGGCTCAAATAGAATTATCGATGATGAACACAGTAAAAGATGATTGCAGTGACAATACAGGGACCTTTCTGCTAATGAGTGGAGATGATAATGTGTGACTAGTTACGTTTTCACTTGTTTTCGGAGGGTGACGTTCTCTGAGCGCAGCGCTGCCATATCCTCATCTGCAACATCCAGCCAGTGCCTCATCTCAGTGTTAAGTTCCTTCAGCTGGCTTTGACTGTAATCCAGCTCAGCTATTTTCTCAAGCATCTCCTTCATTGTCCTACACACACACACACACACACATACATACACACACACACACACACACACACACACAACAGAAACAAATCTTCATATATTTGCCACTACATCACTCATCCAAACAGTTTTTTTGTGTGGATTTGTTCAATAAAATTCACTCACATATTTTCCTCTGTGACAAACATCCTGCTTGTTTACTCCTCCTTCCTCCTGCTTGTGAACAACATATAAACAACCAAACCCCTATTAGGAGTGATACACAGCTTTTA